GTATAAAAGCGCCTTGTACTGATCGATAGTGCAATCTTTCCTCGAGTCATTCGATCCTGTGACAGGTTCAGCTAATCCTAGCCATCCATCGGACAGGATCCGGCGGCATCGGAAGCGCTACGCCACCAGTATCCTTCCACCCCCTTCCCTGATAGGCACTGCTTGTCGTGGCAATGGGATAATCCTGTCGATCCTCTCTCTCTCTCTCTCTAGGGAGGGTACTGGGGAGGCTTTCCCTGGGGAAGGTTGATATATGGAGACTAACCCTCCTGATGACATCCCTTCTTGTCCTGGTGGTTAGGACTGGCACCCGGGGTTCAATTCCTGGTGTACACGCTATCCCAGCGGGGGGGTGTGTCGTGGCACTGGGATAACCCTGTCAATCCTCTCTCTCTCTCTCTCTCTCTCTCTCTCTCTCTCTCTCTCTCTCTCTCTCTCTCTCTCTCTCTCTCTCTCTCTCTCTCTCTCTCTCTCTCGGGAGGGTATTGGGGAGGCTTTCTCTGTGGAAGGTTGATATATGGAGCATAACCCTCCTGATGACATCCCTTCTTGTCCCAGTGGTTAGGACTGGTGACTTTATCGCACTGCTCCCCTATCGGAACCTAGATGGGCAGAATTGTGGCTCTTATACCAGCTGTTATAAAATTATAACTCAGAGTATACCGTAGAATACTATAGGGGAGCGTGACTACAGAATGTCTCTAACAATGAAAGGCCTAGGGCTTATATAGTGCTAGTTGACCAAGTTGAACCTCGAGAGTTGGACCACTCAAGGGCTCGGTAGTCCCGAGGGTGATGGGGTCAAATTGGGATCGGGGCTGATTAGGCCGGCGAGGGTGGTTTGACGCGAGACTTGAGGGCCGAGGCTGCGGATGCGAACTGCTCGCGCTACTCGCTATGGCAAAACCCAGTAAGGATTCGTGAAATCCTTACTGCGACTATGTAAGAATATATAATGAGCGTAGAATAGAATTTTCTCAAGAAGAACGGCTTGTATTGCCAACAAATACTATTTAGAAAGCACAGAAATTAGGCGGGACTGGCATTATTAAAAGCACGGACATCTGGGTCGTTGAAAACAGGTACCAGTGGTGGTATATTGTTCGTTGTTTTATTCCAACAAGTACCGTTACAGAGGACATTTTTGTCTAGCATGTAGGTGACTGACAAGCAGGCCCCCAAATTGGTTTTGGGCCAGTCTGATTCGTCAGAGTCCACTGCCTTCCCTTGGTATGGGTGTCAGAGTTACCTCCTTGAAAAAGTCTGAAAAATCAGAGTAGCCTTCGATTTCTTGTCTGACCAATCAGAGTCATAGCCAAACTTTTGTATGAGCATTTTTTATGGTTCTTCATTAAAGAATGCACTAGATTTCAATACATACACCGTATCAATCAATATCCTGCATATCCTGCTGAGGCGCTGCCGGCATATCATCATCTACTTTCTCCTTTCCCTTCCTGCTGCTACTAGCCTCGGGCAGGGCGTTGCTAAGGGGCTTCCTCTTCTTATAAGCCCGCTAGATGGTGACCACCTCTTCCCAGTCGGGGTCATACTCTAGCTGCGACATGCACATCAGATCTCCTAGCCTAGTATCCTTGAGAGCCCCCCGCAGCCAACTCTTGATGACGTTCTGGCGGGAGAACTCACGCTCGCACTCAACAACGCTCAACGGAAGGACAACCACCGCCACCCACAGGTTGACCAGGTTGTGGTAGCTGTCCCTCCAGTCCTGCGTCTTGAGCATGGCGCTCAGCCCCACGTGGAATGACTTGTCCGCCTTGGGAAGCGCAGCAAGGACGGGGACGAAGTTGCGGAGCTCGCTCTGGGCTTTGCGCTTGTCTATACCTGCTCAGACAAGGGCACACAAGGAGAGGGAGAAGGGTTGGGTTATCGGAAACAGTACACCGGGTTTAGGAAAAGATATGCATCTTGTTTCAGATACATTGCCAAAGGGATACTGAAAGGAGTAGATGGTGATTCACCTGGCAGAATCTCGTCCCTGTCTTCAGCGCGGTAGATGACCATGAGCGAATTGAACCACTCGAGGCATTGCGTCCTCCGTGCCTGTCGGTCCCAGTTGGGCGACCATGTGTCGGCGCTGAACAGGCGCGCTCCCGACAGCTGCCGCAAATCGCCTAGGCGCTCGTTGAGGTTGCGGACCAGGCCCTCCGCTAGAGCCATGCACGCCACGACACTCCCATCATGGTCGCTGGGCCCCGGGTAGTCCTCTTGGGGCTCTTCGTGCAGCTCGAAGGTGAACCGTGAAGGTCGGCCATCGGAGTCAATCCCCTCCACTATCACCAGCTTGGACTTGCCGGGCCAGTGCTTGACGAGGAACCGCGTCAATCGATCGTTGGGCCCGCCGGTGAAGTCGTCTCCGCAGTCCACGTAGCGGCTCTCTAGTAGCGAGGTCGTGCGGATGATCTGCGTGTGCACCGTTGTGTAATCCAGCTGGTGAGTAGGGGGGCGAGGAGAGGTAGGGCGAGGAGAGGTAGGCCATCACAGATGTATGTGTGATTAAGGGACGAGCGGCAGAGACAAGCAACATCGACATGCATGCAAACACTAGCATTTAACATATTTACCTCCCGCTGCTGGAAGACCTTGTTGAGGACGTTCAGCAGCTCCTGCACGTCGGCGAGGAACATCAGGAGGAGCCAGAAGCGGTAACTGGTGACGAGCGCGTACAGCTTGGCGTCGTACTCCTGCAGCATGACCACGATGGCTGGTAGGACCTCGACCAAGCGGATGACCGCATCTCCGCGCGACAGCCAGCGGATGTTGTGGATGCCCTGGAGCTCGAGGTTCGTCGACATGAACACCTCCTGGAGCTCCAGGAACCGTTGATGCCAAGGGTTGGAGCGACCGAGCAGCTCAGCGATCGCGCGAATGATGTTGTCCACCATGTTGAAGACAGGGATCTCCTCGGCAGCAGCCTTTGCCGCCAGCGCCTCTCTGCAATGGGATAAGGAGATGAGATGCAAACTAGGAAGCAAATTAGGGATTGGAATTATAAACAAAACAAGAAGCAAATATACATGACATGCACACAGCAAACGGATGACGAACCGATGGGCAATGCAATGGCAAGAGACAAGGTGCGGAACGCGAAGACGAAGGCGGGCCACAAGTCCAGAGCACGATCCCATCATGACGGCAGCGCCGTCAGTGCTTATGCCAGAGATGCGGCCGAGGTCGACGCCAATCGCCTGCAGATGGGACAACAAGAGGGCGAGAAGCGATGCCGCATCCGCCTTCTCCACTGTCAACAGAGCCAGGTACTCGGTTACAAGCCGCCCTTCCCGGATGAACGTGGCAAACACTATCATGTGCTTGCCACAGCAGCGATCGGTGCTTTCGTCGAGGCTCAGACCAATGTAGGGACTCGCCTGCAGGTGTTGGAGTTGAGTCGTCTGCAGCCACGTTGCCATCGCTTGTGTCAGCTCGCCGAAGCCGTACCTGTTACATGACACGCACAAGCCAAGTTGTTGTACATTACATATGTAAAGACCAGACAGAGAGAAGTTCATAGTCACTGGAGTTCTCACCAGTTATAGTACGTGCCGTAGGCAGACTTCGGGAAGCCCTTGAAACTGCGCGATGAGAGGTATCGCACCAAACGAATCCATGTTTCCATGGGTTCGTTACACTTGGCGCAGAAGTAGAGGGAGTCGAGCAGCGCGATGACTCGCTCCTTCTCTTCGTCGGCCGCGCGAGGATGCTTATCGATCCGCTGCTGGTTCGACGCCAGTTGCAGGAGATCGTCCTGCTTGGACATGGCGAGGCAATGCTTCTGCGTCCCGGCGTGCTTCTTGAACGACTGGGTCTGCACGTCCGTTGCTCCCTTGCCCGATTTGCCGGTACGCTCTGCGGGTCCTGCATGCACTGCGCATACACTGCACTTGAAGGCCGGGAGCCCATCGTCAGTTTTTAAGAGCATGAGCCAAGGGAATCTGTCAGACCAGCGAGATTTGAAACGCTCTTGTGCCTCAGCATAGATGTCCTCATTCGTTCTAGCAGTGGACCTACCGCCAGACGATTCTGGCGTATCCGCAGGTACAAAGGGGCTCGGCACAGGCTCAGGCGGATCCTGGCATGTCGACGTGGAGGCGTACGGCAGAATCACCTGCCTGTACCGGAACCTCTTCGCCGCCGTCACCGACGGCGTGGTGCCGGCGATAGGAGCTGAAGCAGCGGGCATGGGGCTTGCATCCGCAGACTTCTTGCCCGCTGCGTCGGGAACAGGCACGTCGCGATCAGCAGGGGCAGCGTCACTAGGCTTCCTCTGAGGGCTACGATCTGAGGCATCCGATTGCCGCAAGAAATTTAGTGCGGCGGGACCATCGCGGAAATTCTCGGCACACCAGTACTCTTCTTCTTCTTCGTGATAATCTGCCTCGTCTACGTCCTCATCGAGGTCGGCCTGCTCCATGGCTTGCAGGCGCGGCGGGAAAACAAACGCACTGAAAGAAAACCGAGGGGCTACACGAAGCTTGGGTGAAGTTTTGCTGGAGGGGGGAGAAGCAGGGTCGTTTTCCCCCTCAGTAATGAAGTGATGGAGAAGGAGGGGGTCTGCCAGCTGCAGCTCCATCGCGGCGCGTGAGATGCTGTCCATGCATGAATGAACCAGGCACTCGGCGCGTCAGCATGGGTGCGGTGCCTCGTCTGCTGTGCCTCACCCAGCAAAATGCGTCTGGATTGGCGAAAACAACCGTGTTTTGGTCAAGGACCAATCGGCTGCTCGGGCTATCTCTGTGCTGGCGCCATCGCACAAAATTTGCCCGCCCGACGGCTCGGGCCGCGCCAGCGCAAATGTAAATCTGGCGTGATTGACGGTGACGACAGAGGTACCAGCGCAAATCTCGCAACCCCCCCTAAAATGACGGTATTACAGGAATCAGAGTCCCCCCCCCATACAAGGATGTGGCATCAGAGTACACTTGTAAAAGAAGTCTGAAAAATCAGTGTAGGTACATAAAACTTCTCTGAAAAATCAGAGTAACATAGAAAAAAAAGTCTTTGGGATCAGAGTAAAAAGTCTGCAATTTGGGGGCCTGCTGACAAGGTATACCCTGGCCGTGATTGCTAGCGAAATGGTAGAGCTATAACAAATCCAATAATACATGGTAAAGAAATCTGAACCATTCGTCTGGCGGCCCGGGCAAGCAATAGTGCAGGCAATCACGAGGGGGGTCAAAATGCCCATCTGGTCTCAAAGCAGTCATGGTTGCAACATCCAGAAACACTCCTCCCACCCCCTCCACTAACTTCCTTGCAGCCTCATTCTGCTCAGCAAATTTGTCCCAACTGTACGGCAGCCCTGATGTATCCGGAGGCTCCTTCAAGGGAACAGAGTTCTTGCTACAGTTCGCATGCCCCACGGGTGTACTTCTGAGAATTATAAGGAGACTGGGTACAGCTGCTCTCACTGTAGTCAATGTATGGTTGAGCTCAGGGATGAAGTCTGAGGTGTTTGTGAAGTGGGCTCCTCGGTTCAGCACAAGGACTGATATGGGAGGAAACGGCTCGTTGCTGGCAGACTCTGCTAGCTTTCTTGGGAGCAGATTAGCGTATTTGCGCATCTTTGCCGCCCCTTTATTCTTCAGCTTACTGTGATGCGGTTCATGGTGATGCTGCTCATACAGTCTCCGCTGCTTCGACTGCTGCTTCTCCCCTTGCTCCTCTTGCTCCTCCTGCTGCTCTTGCCCCCCATTCTCATCTCCACGTATCTTTGGATTCAGCTCAGGGCCCATTTTTTGCTCTCCCGTCCCTTTCTCCTCTCCCTCTGCATGCCACTCCTGCATCTCCTCCTCCTCCTGAATCCCCTTCACGTACTGCCCTTTCTGTCTCTTCTGCATCTCCTGCCGTTCCTTCTTCCTCTCCCGCCTCTGTTGCTGCATCGCCCTCTGCTGCACCCGCCTCCCCTTCTCCAGCTCCCTCCTCCGCCTCCTCTCTCTGGCCTCCCCCTTCACGATAACATCAAACCACGGGATGGAGATCCGTTTCGGAATGTCAACAATCACACTTAGATTAGTACTGATCACGTCGTCCCGCACGTAGATGAACTTGACTCCACCCGCACCACCACTGTGGTCGTCCCCTGCGCCGCCTCCTAGAGCAAGTCCATGGCATAGTAACAGGTCTTTCCGCTTCTGCGGCTGCCCGTGCTTCGTTCGGCTCGTGCAAAAGGCAGGCGTGAACTCAGAAAGGTCAGGAGGAGTGGAATGGGATTGAATTGCCTCGTTGTGTGCAGGAGTTTTGCTTGCTCTCTGCGCCAGTTGCTGCAGCTGCAGAGGTGGCAGTGGCTGTTGCTGCTCAAAGTGCAGGTCTGGTCCTAAATTCTGAAGCTTCCTGTGCTGCTGCTGTGGCTGCTGCTGCTGTGGCTGCTGCAGTTGCTGCTGTTCCTGCTGCTGCGGCTGCTGCTGCTCTTGTTGCTGTGGCTGCTGCTGCTGCTGCTGCTGCTCTTGTTGCTGCACCCCACGTGGCATCAACGCTTGTCTGAGATGATTCCTGATTGACTTAAACAGCTGAGCATTCGTCGAATCCCCCACTATAAGCACAGTCACCCCTGCCAACCTTTCCGCAAGTTTCGCCCTGTCCACCTCTCCCCACTCCCCACACCTCTCCGGCCGCCACTTATATTTCACCACATTTCTCACCTTCCATTCCTCTGCCGAACCTCCTGCCAAAGCTATCTCATCCGCGCGCTTAAAAGCGACGTTCTTATAACGGGAATTTGTCTGCTTAGGCGCGCTGATCCATCGATTGTCACACTCCCAGCCCGCCGAAAGGGTGTGAGGCTGCGACCAGGGGAGGGTGCGGGGAGTGGGGTCCAGCTGCCACGTGGCGTTTGCTGATAAGCATGCGAGGCGAGTCTGGAACGAAAGGAGCTCATTGGCTGAGGTGATGCGGGAACCCGGAATGAATGGGGAGGAGGGGAAGGCGGGCACGGCAGGAAATGCGGTTCTGTTGGGATCTTGTCGAGAAAATGCTGAATGTTCAAGAGTAATGTCTTGATACTGAGTAACGCCTCGATCGTCTGGCGTCTGTGCTTCGCTGCTGGTTGTGACAGGTAACACTGGCCTTTCATCAGGCGTAGTAACACTAGCGGTCGAGGTAGAAAGTGACTCGCGAAACGCCGCATCAGGCGAAGCTGCAGGTGTAGGCGAAGGCGTGGAGGTGGTAACCATTGAGGTGGTAACGGTGGAGGTGGTAACTGGGGAAGGCAGCGGCCACATTGGAGAAGACGAGATGGGGGTCAGACCGTAGTACACGAGTAGCAGAGGGAGAATCAACGCGAGGAAGATCGTCGCCAGGACTAGACGCATGTAGCGGGAACCCTTACTATTGCTCGGCGCTTCCACGGCCATTGTGATTTGATTCTTCTGCGCTGCGGCCTGGCAGATTAGGCCACACACTAGAATCTGAATCCGGATTCAACGGCCATCATGATTCCGCCTTTGCTACCGCGTAGTCCGTACTATGACGACGCGTCTCGTGTCTCGTCAGCCGTAGACTGGAAATAAACCGTAACAAGCTGCTTTCACAATGATTTTCCCCCAAGCCTAATATGCTGTTCGTATAAGGTGGATTCCCCGAATACACGAAATTACAATCCATGGCGGACGAGCCTAAAAGGTGACTCGGGACACTATATACTGGAGGAAAGTCAAGCATGGAAACGGAGAATAAAAACCAAACTAGATTCTCATGAAAATACATGTTATGGTTTCCCTCTAGAAACACTACTCGGGATTTCTCGGATCTCATAGTGAAATTGCACATTTATTCCATCCCTTATCAGATGTGCTGCGAAATATTTTACAGCTAGGATGTTTCTTAATGTGAAATCGAAATATCGCTTCTTATGGGACGAATATTTCTTAACGCGGATGCCTGGCCTTGGTGGATGATATATCTCCTTCCCTCGCAAAGCAGTGCCTCGGAAATTCCGTCTCCATCAGTCGAGCCAGATCCTCCCATTTCGATTCAGGAGTCACTACAGTACTAGACCAGAGCAGAGCCGAGCTGTCTCGTTGAGAGATTCCGTGCAGTGAGAGGCCTTGCTTGTCACGCCCTGTCGTCACCAGTCACTTTCTAGTCCAAACCACTGACCGCTGACCACTGTCCGTTTCCTATTGACCGCTCTTCTCGCTTCGTTAATTGCTTCATGCTGGTCGGCGGCTCCCGTTTTCGCTGCACGGCCTGCAGTTGTCGCAGGCTATCGACACGTGCGATTGCGTCGCATGCTGGTCGCTCGTCGCTCGTCGCCTGCAGTTGACGGCTCGTGACAGCTCGTCGCAATCGTTCTCAGACAGCCTGCTATTCCAAACTCGGCTCTATTCCAGCTGTACTTTTCCAAAGGATCACACTGCGGCCAGTTGGATCCCAGTATCGAATTGACCTCCGTCGTCATCACAATGGCGAATCAGCCAATCGGGGCCTGCCATCAAACCGCTCGTCAAAATGGCCTCGCTTCTGCTTCGCTCTTACAACATCCATTCCATCACCCTTCGCATCTTTTCCCCCGGCCTCTTTCCCGTCGTTATCGCGTGGCGTTTCCCATTCGGAGTCGCAGACGCCGTCGTCGTCGTTTTCAGTTTGTGTCGCACGGGGTAGTCGCCAGCTCAGAGCGTAGTCGTCGCACACCCCCGGCGATCGCCGCTCTGTGACCCGCGAAGTCAATAGCAAGAGAGGCTCACTCACTCGCTGCCGTCACTTCGTCTTAAGATCAGGAGCGACTAACTCGACCCTCATTCTCGCAAATCCTGCTGCTCTTTCTGACGGCGGCTGTTTGCCTGCTGCTGCTGCAGTCCTGTCGTTGCCCTGGTTTCTCCGTAGCTCCTGTGTCTCACGGCTCGCGTATGAGAAATCCGCTCGGAGTCGAGCTAAGTCGTCTTTCTAGCTGCTTCTCGACTCGGAGTCAACTTCTCTCCAACCTTCTTTCGAACCGTCTTCTGCACACCTTCCTTCCCCGCCTTCGAAAATTGCACCGTTACTCAACCAGCACGGTGCAGCGATAACCTTTACTACTGGCGTCTCGCTCGTCTTCTCGCTCATCTTCTCGCTCGTTTTCTCTCCCCAATTTATCGTAGCGTCGTAGGACGACCGATCCCTCACGATCAGTGCTGACGTGGCACCATGTCATCCGTGTGCGCGCTTGACGTGGAGGCCCTCAGGAAAGCGAGGACCCGGGCGTCTGCTGCGTCAGCATCGACCAAATCACCACGTGGCTTGTATGATGGAGTGAATGCGCTCCTAAGTGACAGAGGAGGGACAGGTGGCGATCGAAGATTGGCTCTGGGAAAGGTGGAGGCCGGAAGTGGCAGCGGTTATACTCATTATAATGGTCAGCGTTATCAGCCTGGCGGTCAGTCTCCTTCAAAGCTTGTTGGCCAGCGTTTTGAGGCTGGTGGTGAGCACTTTGCTCCTGGAAAGCGCTTCTCTGCTTCTGAGGCAAGAAGATGGAAAGGAGGATCACTGTTGCCGCTCCCTGAGTATGGTGCTGACGGTGATTGTGGTGGTGGCAGTGGTGGCAGTGGTCGTGGTGGTGTTGGTGATGATGGTGAGAATAACAATCTGGAAGAGGATTTATCGGAGCAGCACAGGAGCAGCAGCAACAAGAGCAGCAGCAGCAACAAGAGCAGCAGCAGCAACAAGAGTATAGACTGCGGTGCAAGCGACTCCAGTGACACAGGCGATTCTGGCAGCACTGGCACCAGCAGCAGCAGCAGCACCGGCACCAACAGCAGAACCAGCACCAGCAGTGGAAGCGCCGGTGACAACGCAGAGGGATTCGATCAAGACGGCAATGGCTGCATATTTGTGTGTATTCCGAAGCGGCGCTCTGGGGATGTGAAGCCAACCATTGCAGGGAAATTGAAAGATACCATTTTCAATGCTTCTGAATCGCCTGATCCTTGTGGTGGCTCCGATGCTTCAGAGTGGGCCCATCACCACAGCAAGACGTGGGACGCCCATGTTCAGAGCATGGTTACCACCGCCTGTTACACCATCACCATCGACCACCTCTCCTACTCCATACCCGCTCCTGCATCCTCCTCCCTCGCGTTCCTCACTCAGACACTCTCCCCATGGTTTCCACTGCTGCCTTCTTCTAGAACCAATGCTGCCGGTGTTGACCAGACTGGTAGTCTGACTGCTGGTACTTGTGTTACTAGTGACCCTGATGGCGCTGGTGCTGCTCATGGCACTGCTGGTGCTCTGCACCCTCCTGCTTCTGCTTTCCTCCCTTCTGCAGCGCCCGCCTTAGTAAGAGGAGGATCAGCAGCCAAAGCTGAAGCAACACAGGGCTCCGAATCCTCCTCCTCTGCACGTCCGTTCCTCCCCCTGCTGGTGGACGTGACTGCAGTGGCGCGCCCTGGGCAGGTGCTGGCAGTGGCGGGGCCGAGTGGCGCTGGCAAGTCAACGCTGCTGGACTGCATCGGAGGGAGGATTCAGGGCGGGAGGCTGAAGGGAGATATCCTGGTGAATGGGCAGAGGATGAGCGCGGGCGAACTGAGAAGAATCTCAGGTATGTTTTTTGAGACACTTAAACCAGTCAACGCTGCTGGATTGCATTGGAGGGGGGGAGGATATGGAGACACTGTTGAAGATTGCACACTCCCCTTGTCATCTCCTTCCTAACCCGCACCCAGGCTACGTGCAGCAGGACGATGCTCTCTTCCCGCACCTCACCCCGCGCGAGTCGCTCCTCTTCTCCGCCCATCTGCGCCTGCCCTCCTCCCTGCCCCTCGCCGACAAGCTCGCTCGAGTCGATGCCCTCCTGGCGACTCTTGGCTTGCAGGTAACACAGTGGCACAAAGGCACGGTTCTTCTGAAAGCGAGTCGCTCCTCTTCTCCGTCCATCTGCGCCTGCCCTCCTCTCCTCCCTGCCCCTCGCTGACAAGCCTTGAGTCGATGCCCTCCTGACCACTCTTGGCCTGCAGCTAACTGTGCTTTAACTCAGCCAAGGTGCGGATTTTTCCTCTTCTCCACCCATTTCCAGTGTAGCGGAGCAATACCCCACTCTTCTTCTCCCTTTCCCTTGTCCCTTCCCCTACCCCCATCCCCCATTTCCCCGCCCTTCACTCCAGTCTGTCGCCCACACCCGAATCGGCAGCACCAGTGCCGGCAGCAGCAGTGGAAGAGGGCTCTCTGGGGGAGAAAGAAGGCGTGTATCAATAGGCATGGATATAGTGCACAATCCGGCAGTGGTGCTGTTGGATGAACCCACCAGTGGGCTGGACAGCGCTGCTGCTGCCAACGTGCTGGGCGTGCTGAGGGGCATGGCGAAGGAGGGAGGGAGGACCGTGGTGCTCTCCATACACCAGGTAAGCTTGCACCAGGTGCGAGGAAGAAGAATAGAAGAGGGCAGGAGGGAGGGAGTTGGGCTGATGGATGAACCCACCAGTGGGCTGGACAGCGCTGCTACTGCCAACGTTTTTAGCGTGCTGAGGGGCATGGCGAAGGAGGGAGGGCGGACTGTGGTGCTGTCAGTACAACACGTAAGGTGTGAGAGGGAGCAGGTGAGAGGGGGGAGAGGAGGGCAGGAGAGTGAGTGACTAGGGAAAGTGGAGGACAGCTGGGAATGAGTTGGGGGAAGGAAAGTGCAAGGGGGAGAGAGGTGGGCTGTTGGACGAGCCCACCAGTGGGCTGGACAGCGCTGCTGCTGCCAACGTGCTGGGCGTGCTGAGGGGGATGGCGATGGAGGGGGGGAGAGCGGTGGTGCTGTCCATACTCCAGGTAGGGGCAGAAGCAGGTTCCTGTGAAAGGGAGAGAGAAGGCGAGTTCCACTTGGCATGGAGCAGTGCAGCAAGGGAATGCCTTGGGATTGGAACTGCTGCTACCAGCGTGCCTGTTGGGCATGGTGAGAGGGATGGCACAGCATGGAAAGAGGACTGCGGTGCTTGCAATACGCATGGTGAGAGAGGCTCGTGGCTCGTGGTTCTGTTTGGCCCCCTCTCCCTGCCTGCATGAGGCTTGTCGCACTGCTGCTATCGACCCCCCATTCCCCCCCATTCCCCCAATTTTCTCCATCCATCCCTCCTTCCCCCCTTCCCACTTCCCTCCATTCCCCCGCCTCAGCCCAGCTTCCGCACTCTGGAGCTCATAGACCCCTGCTTCTGCTCTCCCAAGGCTCAGTGGTTCACTTCGGCCCTCTCTCGCCGCTGGAGAGCCTTGTTGCTGCTGGCGCAAGAAGCAACCCTAAACGCTCTCAGCACTATTGTACTCGTCCCCCCCTCCCCCTCTTCCCCCAAACTATCCCCCCCGCAGCCCAGCTTCCGCATTCTGGAGCTCATAGATTCCATCCTGCTGCTACCATACCTTGATGCTCTCCCCCCATTCCCCTCTCCTCCCTCTCCTTCCATCCCCCCCCCCGGCAGCCCAGCTTCCGCATTCTGGAGCTCATAGATTCCATCCTGCTGCTCTCCCGAGGCTCCGTGGTTCACTTCGGCCCTCTCTCCCTTCTCGAGGCTCGCCTCGCGGCTGCTGGCTGCACTGTGCCCATGCGAGTCAACGCGCTTGAGTTTGCCATGGAAGGCATGGGGGTGAGTCATACCCCTACCCTTTCTGATTGACCATGTCTGGCTGCTGCTGGCTGCACTGCACTTAAACTCGAGGTGCGATTTACAGTTTCTGAAAACAAAAAATCGCGCGATGCGATTTTAAAAGCATCGCATGTAATTTTAAATTTCAACGCACTCTAAACGCGATGTGTGATTTACAGTTTCTGAAAAAATAAATCGCATCACTATGCGATTTAAACCGCAATCGCGTTTTTATCATGTCTCGGGGTGAGTTGCCTCTATGCCTGCTGCCTGCGCTGAGCCCATGCGAGTCAATGACCTTGAATGTGCTATGGAAAGCATGGGGTTAAGGTTCGTTTCGTTCCCTTGGGTAAGTTTTCTGCTGCCCTCTGTTCCCTGTTGTTATGGGGGCTGATTCTCCCAAATTCCTACAAGTTGTGTACACATGTCTGTATGCTTGATATCGTTCTCTCTTCCTTCCCGTTTCAGCCTTCTCTTTCCCCATTCTCACGTGGCTGAATGCCCTTGAATCTGGCTCTAAAGTCTTACGAATATCTCCATGCTTTAATTCTCTCTCCTACATCTCAGCATGCCGCAACATGCGCATCCTCTCTCCATGCTGTGAAAGTTTATGCGACTTGGCATGGTGGCATGTTTCAACAAACCAGCAGCATAGCATGCTTCTCCCCTCTTCCTCTTTCCTCCTCTTCTCCCCTCTTCTTCCCCCTTCCTTTTTTCTCCTCTTCTCTCCTCCCATTACCTCCCAACAGACCAGCAGCGGTACACTGTGGAAGCACCTTCAGCAGCAGCAGCAAATGGCAGCAGACGGGGGTGTGTGTTTCCAGCGCAAAGACGAGGCGTGCTCTGCTGGCGGTATGGATGGCTCACGCCATGCAGACACTGCTGCTGCGAGCATCAGCATCATTGGTGGCCGCAAGAAGTGCTCAGCTTATGGTGATGGTGATGGTGATGGTGATGGTGATGGTGATGGTGATGGTGATGGTGATGGTGATGGCAGTGGTTATGCGGATGTGGCCGGGGGTGAAATGTTTGTCGAGCTGCCTCTTTCCTCATCGTCGCCACTTTCACTACCATCAGCACCATCAGCAGCATATGAAGCAGGCCTCCGTGGTTCGTCGCACGCTGTGACGATGCTAGCGAATGGAAGGGATGGCAGCTGCTGGCAAACACCATATCCTGCTTCTGCTTTCAAGTGCGTCGACCAAGAGAACGTGCAAGAAGAAGAGATAGACGGCAAAGACAGGAGCAGTAACAAAAGCAGCAGCAGCAGCAACAGCAGCAGCAGCTGTAGTGGCAACGGTGCCAATGGGAGCAGCAATGGGGGCAGCAATGGCGGCAGTGATTTATCTTCTCTCCTACCTCAGTATGCCACATCTCCCTTGCACGAGATCTGGTGGCTCAGCTGCCGGAACTTCAAGGTACTTGCCTTCCATGACGCTGCGTGCATTCATTTATGTGCTGCCTGGCTATTGTTGAGGGGTCTAAAACATTGTCAGTGCATGGAGGCATTTGCTGCCTGGCTATCCTGGTATCCTCGTCTTATATGGTAGCGGGCAGGGGTAGTGGAGACTGGCATGTATAAGACAACAATCTCTTAAGTGATTCCCCCCTTCACCCGTCAGAACATGGCCTGCACGCCTCAGCTCTCCTAGGGTGGGCATCTCATGTCGCCTTCTCTGCTTAGGCATGCTTCAATTCTTCATTCCTTCTGTGCTTCCCCAACTCCCCAACTCCCCAACTCCCCAACTTCCCAACTCCCCCCCTCCCCCCCCCTTCACCCGTCAGAACATGGCCAGGACGCCTGAGCTCTGTCTAGGAAGGGCCTCTCAGGTCGCCTTCACTGCTCTGTGCCTGGGGACTCTGTTTCTGTGCCTCCCGTCCAACCCTCAGGGGATCGAGGTGAGGGGAAAAGGCAGAGGTGAGGGGACGGAATTCGGGGAGTGCGTCAAAAGCAGAGGCAAGCAAGCAAGCAAGTCGTCTCTGGCTGCCTTCACTGCTGCGTGTCTTGAAACCCCTCTTCCTGCTACTCTTGTCCAGCCTTTGGGGATAGCGGGATGGGAAGGCAGTACTCACTGGGCCTTTTCTGCTGCTTGGTCCCTTGTCGTTCCCTGTTCGCTCTGGAGCTCATGGGTTAGGAGAAGAACTGCCTTTGGACCCAAGCAGTTTTTCTCCCAAAGGCAGCTTGAGCAGGTCTTCTCCTAACCCGTGCCCCCCCCTGCCCCATTCTCCCTCCACCCTTCAGGAGCACATGGGAGTCTTTGCCTTCTTCCGCCCCTTCCTACTCACCTCTTCAGTTTATTATCCCCTGTTTCTCTACTCCTGCACTCTCCCCCCTCCCGCCCATCTCCTTCCCCCACGCTCCTTCCCCTCCCACCCCTCAGGAGCGTATGGGGTTCTTTGCTTTCACCCTTGCCTTTCTGTTCACCTCATCCACTGAATCCTTGTTTCTCTCTCCCCTCTCTTTCCCCCTACCCTCACCCCCCCCCCTCCCCCCTTCTCAGGAGCGCATGGGGTTCTTTGCCTTCTCCCTCGCCTTCCTGCTCACCTCTTCAGTCGAGGCCTTGCCCGTGTTTCTTGAGGCAAGCATACCCGCCTCACATCAATGTGCTTGACACATCACCCGCCTCACATCAATGTGCTTGACACATCACACGCCTCACATCAATGTGCTTCACACATCACACGCCTCACATCAATGTACTTGACACGTCACACGCCTCACATCAATGTACTTGACACATCACACGCCTCACATCAATGTGCTTGACACATCACACGCCTCACATCAATGTGCTTGACACATCACATGCCTCACATCAATGTGCTTCACACATCACACGCCTCACATCAATGTACTTGACACATCACACGCCTCACATCAATGTACTTGACACATCACACGCCTCACATCAATGTACTTGACACATCACACGCATCACATCAATGTACTTGACACATCACACGCCTCACATCAATGTACTTGACACATCACACGCATCACATCAATGTACTTGACACATCACACGCATCACATCATTTTACTTGACACATCACACGCATCACATCAATGTACTTGACACATCACACGCCTCACATCAATGTACTTGACCCATCACACGCATCACATCAATGTGCTTGACACATCACACGCATCACATCAATGTACTTGACACATCACACGCATCACATCAATGTGCTTGACACATCACACGCATCACATCAATGTACTTGACACATCACACGCATCACATCAATGTGCTTGACACATCACACGCATCACATCAATGTGCTTGACACATCACACGCATCACATCAATGTACTTGACCCATCACACGCATCACATCAATGTACTGGACACATCACACGCATCACATCAATGTACTTGACACATCACACGCATCACATCAATGTACTTGACACATCACACGCATCACATCAATGTACTTGGCACATCACACGCATCACATCAATGTACTCGACACATCACACGCATCACGCGGACCGCCTCACACACCCCCCTCTCCCCACACAGACACATCCTCACGTTCAGAGTGTTAAGACACACACATGCGCACACACACACACACACACACACACATGCACGCTCATGCACACGTGCCCACGTGCACACATGCACACAAACACATGTGCACACCACAGCCCTGCATTTTCAATGACATCCCAGCATCGTTTGCCTGACAGGCCTTTCCTGAACCATGACTCCCCACATCCTTCATCTATCTCCTTCATCTCCTTCCCTTTCTCTTCAGGAGCGCCAAATCTTTCTCCGAGAGACTTCAAGAGGAGCCTACCGCATCTCCTCATACGCCATCGCCAGGTGATTTGCACGCATGCAAAATGTGGGGTCCTCAAATCTCCTCACACCTCCTCACACCTCCTCACATCTTCTCACACCTCCTCACTCCTCCTCACATCTCCTCACGCCTCCTTTCACCTCCTTTCACCTCCTCACATCTCCTCACACCACATGCATGTATTGCCTCACATCTACCTTCATGAAACCTCAAGAGGAGCCTGCTTCAGCATCTCCTCATATGCCATAGCGAGGCGATTTGCAGGCGCTGGGCAGCAATCACGCATGCCTTTTCCTGCCTGGTCTCTTAAGCATTCAAGTCGCGGACCTTTGACCAGTTGCCAGCATCTTCTTTCTTGACAAGAGATCAGCATTCCAAGCATTCAAATCAGGAGATCTTATCGCCACTGCCACCCACTTAGTACTTTTTTTGCTCATTTTGTGTTTCATATGCTTCATTTCCTTGCGTGACTCTCATTGTATAGTATTCATTGACATGGCATCCTACTCCACCCTGTCGCTTCATAAAATCCTCTCTTCCCTCCCTCGCAGTGTGGCGGTGTTTCCCCCCTTCCTCCTCGTCCTCGCCCTCCTCTACTCCATCCCAGCCTATCTGCTAGTCGGCCTGCACGCTTCCCACTCCGCCTTCCTCTTCTTCCTCCTCGTCGTCTGAGCTGTCCCCATATGCATACAAGACCAGAAACAGACTCTAGCCCTCACGCTCTTTCTAGCACTCGTCCACTGCCCTTCCGTCCCGTTGTCCCCACCCCTTTTCACTCTTTGCAGTGTGGCGGTCTTTCTCCCCTTCCTCCTCCTCCTCGCCCTCCTCTACTCCATCCCAGCCTATCTGCTGGTCGGCCTGCACCCCTCCCTCTCCGCCTTCCTCTTCTTCCTCCTCGTAGTCTGGGCGGTGCTCGTGGTTGCCAACGCCATCGTCGCCTGCATTGCGTAAGTTCCCTTGTCTGGGCGGTGCTGGGGAAACAGTCCCACCCCTCCCCCAATCCCCTCCCTTCCGGCCTTATTCTTCCTCCTCGTTGTCTGGGTGGTGCTTGTCATTGCCAACGCCATCGTCGCCTGCACCACGTATGTTCTTATGAGATGCATTCTCCACACACCCCTCCTCTCCCTATCCCCTCTTTTGAGTTTGGTTTTCGTTGTTGTCAATGCCATCGTTACCTCCCTAAAGTTGGGATTTTTTTTGTTTATTACTGGTTTTCCTGGGCAATGAAGTATCTCCAGTCTCTTACCCCGGATTTCTATTCTCTACGATACTCCCTTCTATACCACGCCCCCGTGCATACATACCTTTACCCCATACCCCATGCCCCATGCCTCCCCCTGCCCCTGTGTGTCCCTTGCCTCCCTTGCCTCGGAGCCATGGCGCCTGCCTTTATCACGGCTAACTCCATGATCGCTGGCCTTATGGGCGTATTCTTTCGTACCCTTTCCTTGCCTCCTAACCCTGCTCTCATGCATCTACCCGTGCCCCCCATACATCAGAGCCATGGCGCCTGACTTCATCACGGCTAACTCCATGATCGCTGGCCTCATGGGGGCCTTCTTTCTCTTCTCAGGCTACTTCATTGCCAAGAAGGTAAGCATCTAATTTACTGCTAAGAAATCGTTATTTCTCCTATTTCTCCTAACATACTAAGAAACCCTTCCCCTTTCCCGTCTCCCCAACAGCGCATCCCGTCGTACTGGATCTGGATGCACTACCTGTCAGTCTTCAAGTACCCCTTGGATGCGCTCATTATCAACGAGTATGCGACCAATGACAACAAATCTTTCTGTCCCTTCCCTTCCCTCCCTGCCCCCCCAACAGTACATTCCCTCATACTGGATCTGGATGCACTACCTGTCAGTCTTCAAGTACCCCTTGGATGCGCTCATAATCAACGAGTACGGGAGCCACAGCGACACCACCTTTGGGCCTGCAGGCACAGGAGCCCAGGTGAGATCTGTCAGGCCTTCCTGTGGGTGCGGCTATGCATGTATACGAATGCGCTCATAATCAACGAGTACGGGGTCTGCAGCAATATCACCTTCGGGCCTGCAAATACGGGAGCTCAGGTAAGATCTGTCAGGCCTTCCTGTGGGTGCGGCTATGCATATATACGAATGCGCTCATAATCAACTAGTACGGGAGGCATGGTGACACCACCTTTGGGCCTGCAGGCACAGTAGCTTAGGTGAGTGCTTCAAGCATTCTCGGGCATGCTCATTGTTGCTCTAGTGCTCACCTCTCGCTGCTTATCCTTCTATGTATGCGTGCAACGATATTGCACACCATCTCATTGCCCGGATCTGTCCCCCTCTCCTCTCACATCAGATTATTGATGCCGCAGGCTTGTCTGGGCACTCCAAGTGGCTTGACCTCCTTGTGTTATTAGGTTTCGCTATGACATTTCGCATTGCCTGTTACATCTTCCTCCTTGCACAACGTACAACTAGAAGATGAAAAACATATCATAGATTTGATGTTTTCAAGTTCCATCATGATGAAATCGAAAGATACCTTCGATATATATATGCGCCACGAATGTATGTTAAGGCGCATCAATCTCAATACGTTTACGTAAACGTTCAAGAAAATTTGCTCAATCATGAAATTTGAATCTGTTGTAGTTGTGAGTTTGCTGTGGGAATTGTTGTCGAGTCAACATCTTGTGCTGTGCCAAAGCGTCCTCGTTATAGACTTCCATCTCTGAGAGCTTCCTCATGCTGCTGATCGTTGTGAAGAACGCAGATGTCCCAGTTTAGTCCAGAGGACAGATTCTAGTTGAATCCACACTTACATTGCGGTCCAGAAGGCAGGCGTCATGGTGTCTGGAGCAGTTATCGTGGCGCTTTGTGCTGCTATTGGTAACGGGCTTCAAGGTTGGGACAATGCCGCGATGGCAGGTGCGTGAAGCCTTCGTTGTTCTCTGTTGAAACACTCTAGCGTCCGAGAATGACTTGCTCCTCTGGTTTTCTCAGGGTCACTTCTCTACGTGGTCCCTGATTTCCATTTATCTCCAACTGCGGTCGGATTGATTGTGACTGCATCCTTGCTTGGTTTGTAGTTCTTCCAAGAAAACGCATTCTTTCCCCGTTGTCCTTATTCTGACGACGTCAGAATGCACGCAGGTTCCGTACTCAGTACTCTAGTCGCTGGAAGATTTGCGGACTTAATCGGCAGAAAATCGGTTCTTATCATTGCGGCTTTCACGTTTTTTTTAGGCAAGTCGCTACGTTCCGGATAGTGATTTGCTTGAATACAGCACCGATATTCACTAATTTGCTTCGTTTCAGGAGCTGCGATCAGCGGATGGTCCCCTAGCGTGGAGCACCTTGTCACAGGAAGAAGCTTAGTGGGACTAAGCATTGGATTCTTTGCCACAGTCGCTCCAATTTTTATATCAGAATGCTCACCGCCAGAAATTCGTGGCCAGCTGGCCACACTTCCTCAGCTTATGGGCATCGGAGCTATGGTCTTTTCGTACGCAGTGTCGTTTCTCCTATCCCTGTCGCCACACACGGATTGGAGACTTATCCTTGGGATTGAGTATGGAAGTTTAGATCATTTCTCATGTCCCTGTGCTCGGAATTTATCTGTCCCTGAACCCCTTCACCTGATTTCAGATGTGGACCATCGCTCCTCTACATTCTGGCACTTTTTCTTGTTCTTCCTGAGTCACCGAGATGGCTTGTAAGCAAGGGAAGAATGGCAGAGGCACGGCTCGTTCTGCAGTACCTTCGTGGTTCTCAAGATGTTTCGGGTAAGGTGATCCTTCACTAAGTCCTGCTGATCCGCATGAAAACTTTTCATTAGCCTCATCATCTGCACGTTCTGTCAGGTGAGCTGGCTGTCTTGGTAGAGGGGCTCGGACTTTCTCGTGACATTTCTTTGGAGGAATGGGTCATCAAGCCCGTGGATGAAGAGTTCTTAAACAAAAGCCACGATTCAACTGCACCTGTCAAGTTGATTGGGCCGGACTCGGGTTGTGAGTGGATGGCATGTCCAGCTGCAGCTACAACTGAGACTGATGAAGCTGCAATACTTTCACGTTCTTCCAGCATTTTCGTATCTGGAAGCCTTCCAGTTGACAACTTAGTTACCCTGATGGACAACATTCAACGGGCTAGCGATATGGGCAATGCAGAAAACGAGAATATGCAAGCCAAGGCATGGCCATCCCAAAATTCTTCAAGGGAGGATCAATTGGCTCAGCCTTCTGATATTGAGAACCTGCAAGCTCCACTGCTGGCGTGTGCATCTGACAATTCCGCGGAAATCTCTCGCCAATCCTCTCTTATGGAGTCTGTTTTTTCTTCTGTTCCGCCACTGGCCTCGTTGACATCTCTGGACCTGAACAACAGCTACCAGACATCCACAGCTACGGCAGGGTCATTGGGTGGAGGATGGCAGCTGATGTGGCAAGTTGAGGCTGCGTCTAATCAAGTGGATGGGGGTGATGAAAAGCTGAACAATCAGAGTCACGATGAGATGAGGAGGGTCTACATTTTGCAGCAAAGCATTGGGCAATCATTGTCTGACTCTACGCAGCTTCCGAATGACGATGGTATTCAAGTGTCTGTGCTTGTCAGTCAGCAGAACTCGTTGGCGCCACTTGAGTGTGACACAGAAGGTCCGGCCATGGTGCATCCATCAAAAACAGAGGGTGCGGAAGGAGGATTCAGCAGCCTTAAGGAGCCTGGTGTCAAGCAAGCTCTTGTTGTAGGAATTGGTCTTCAAGTGCTCCAACAGGTATGGAAGAATGTCACCTATTATGTGCATCATCGTCGTTTCTTGCTGATATGATCCCCTCCGTTTGCAGGCATGTGGAATCAATGCGGTGCTATACTACACCCCTACGATTCTCATGTCATCTGGTGCCAGCGTCCTGGAGACTTATGGTTTGTCAGCAGAATCTTCATCCATGCTGGCAAGTGGTGTCACAGCTTTCCTTATGCTGCCCTGCGTATTTGCAGCCATGCTGCTCATGGATTCCTTGGGTCGAAGGTATGCGTTATGATACCCTGATGTATGCCCCTTTCGCTCGCTTGAAACATACTCAGCCGTAACCACGTTATTGGAAATGCAGGCAACTTCTTCTATGCACCACTCCTATTATTGGAGCATCATTGGCACTTTTGGTCTTTTCGTCGCTTGCTCTTGGTCCAGGATTGGTGCAATCAGTCTGCTCGTTAGCAGGGGTCACAATATTCTGCTGTGCATTCGTCATGGGTCTTGGGCCAATACCCAATATCATCTGCTCTGAGATCTTCCCCACTCCTGTTCGCGGCTTGTGCATTGGTCTGTGTGGTGCTGCTATGTGGCTGTGTAACATTGGTGTCAGCCAAGCGTTTCCACTTCTTCAAGCAAGATTCGGTCTTGCTGGTGTCTTTGCCATCTTCTGCACAATGAGCGTAATCTCGTGGCTCTTCGTATTTCTCAAGGTTCCAGAGACTAAGGGCTTGCCCTTGGAGGTCATCTGTGACATATTTGCTTTATCTGCCAAGCAGCAGCAAGCAGCACGTGTTCACGAAGACTAGCTGCCCCAACATGGCCATCTGTCGATCAAATTATTATGTCACTGCACTTTAATGCATACGTCTCCTTATAATGGATTTCTTACACTTATAGAACAAGTTGAATGTTATTGCTACTTGGTTGACCTTGGAATTGCTAGGAAATGCTGGCACATGTACACTCTCCCCGAAACCTATTTCTATATCGGGTCCAACTCGATAATGGTCTACCTCCTCCTGCATTGGGGTTTGACGGATCTGTGGCTCTGTGCTATTGGTCTAGAGCTGGTGACGTATTGAAACGCCACGACGTTTGGAATAGCGCTGCCTGCTCCAATCGGCTCCTAATCAACAACACACGGCAATCTACGCGATCTTGCATGCTGTGGAAGCGTTACCCGGTGAGGCCATCGTCACCACACGAGCGAACAGTTCTGTGTGTTGTTCGCTGCTTGCTCAAACCACACACACTTTGTTCGCAGAACACACCGACTCACGTCGCGAAAAAAAGCTCATCCATCGCGATTGGCTGGCCTCGGATTGCGGCGATTTGGAACAAACTCGCAATGGAGATTTTTCCGAATTCGGAATGCCAGAAACGCTCCCGACACGCGCTCTGCGATCTGCCAGCAGCCAATCAGAATGCGCTTTAGACCCACCCAACCCATCAACCCTATCCAGCCTGGTGGTTGTCTCAGACTTCCTCCCCACAGCCCATCATCGCACAGCAGGTTCAAAACTCCTCGTCATTCTTCCAGTAAGGCAGAACGCATCAAAACCTAACCATCCTTCCTTACATCCCAGGAAATCCTCCTCGACAGCTTCAGTTTCGAGGCATCTACAATGGCTGCTCTCGCTAACGCTGCTGTGCTGCCGTCCACCTTTGTCGGGCAGAGCGCCGAGCTCGCCGCGAAGGTGAACAATGTCGAGGCCCGCGTGACGATGAGGAAGACCGCCAAGGCGGCTTCCAGCAGCGCCTTCTACGGCCCCGACCGCAACCTGTTCCTGGGCCCGTTCTCCTCCCCGCCGTCATACCTCACCGGCGAGTACGCCGGCGACTACGGCTGGGACACGGCCGGCCTGTCCGCCGACCCCGAGACGTTCGCGAAGAACCGCGAGCTGGAGGTGATCCACGCTCGCTGGGCTCTGCTGGGTGCGCTGGGCTGCCTGACCCCCGAGCTGCTGGCCGGCAACGGCGTGAACTTCGGCGAGGCGGTATGGTTCAAGGCCGGCGCGCAGATCTTCTCGGAGGGCGGGCTGGACTACCTGGGCAACCCCAGCCTCATCCACGCGCAGTCCATCCTGGCCATCTGGGCGTGCCAGGTCATCCTGATGGGAGCCGTTGAGAGCTACCGCGTGGGTGGCCTGGAGGGCTTCCAAGAGGTGGAGGACCCCCTGTACCCCGGCGGTGCGTTCGACCCCCTGGGTCTGGCCGACGATCCCGATGCGCTGGCCGAGCTCAAGGTGAAGGAGCTGAAGAACGGGCGCCTCGCCATGGTGTCCATGTTCGGCTTCTTCGTGCAGGCCATCGTCACCGGCAAGGGCCCCCTGGAGAACCTCTCGGACCACCTGGCTGACCCCACCGTCAACAACGCCTGGGCCTACGCCACCAACTTCACCCCCGGCGCTTAAATATAGACTTCCATAATCCTGTACATTCTCCCAAGTATATCAATATTATATTAAACTTTCTCAGCTCAGTTTTTTTCCAATCCACTTTCCTCTGAAGCTGCACAAACGCACGTAAGAAGCCATTATTGATGTCACATCTACGGTTTGCCTAATGATTGGCAGTTCCGAGTATGTTTTCCCTTGTCATAGTGATCATATCAGAACTTACGGTGAGATTCTCATTGCAGCAAATCTGACACTAATTGTTGAACAGTTTGCTGCCTTACTTCGAAATGTTATGCTCAGTGTCAACGTGTGAGTAGCACTGAAAGAAACCCCACGATGACGAATTATTTCGAGTAGCCATCTCGATGTGGTATCTATTATCTAACCCAGTTCAATTTCAGTTATCTCAACACAAGCTTGCAGTGAACCAGTGACCATGCTTCTGTGTGACGTTCAACTCAACGCTGTGGCAGCAGAGAGTCAACTACTGGTTACCTTGTATTCGCTACTGGTCAACATTGTGGTGTAGATGTGGTTTGCGCTGCATTGTGAACCACGTTTCGATTACATGGGTTTGACCATAGCGCCAACCTCTCCGCAGGAGGTGATGGTACTAGTACTCTTTCCCGTCAGTCTCTTGTTCCTGCAAGCGCTGGTGCATTATTACCTGCTGTGATTGTTAAGAAAGGATCATCACAACTACTCCAATTGCAACTGTGATCACTATGGAAAGGACATCGTAATTGTGGTACAATTAAGACTTGACAGGAGCGTGGATTGGGTTCAGACTTCGTCGATAAATTTTCTATAATTTTGATATATTGGGGAGAATGTACAGGATGATGAACGTCTATATTTAAGCGCCGGGGGTGAAGTTGGTGGCGTAGGCCCAGGCGTTGTTGACGGTGGGGTCAGCCAGGTGGTCCGAGAGGTTCTCCAGGGGGCCCTTGCCGGTGACGATGGCCTGCACGAAGAAGCCGAACATGGACACCATGGCGAGGCGCCCGTTCTTCAGCTCCTTCACCTTGAGCTCGGCCAGCGCATCGGGATCGTCGGCCAGACCCAGGGGGTCGAACGCACCGCCGGGGTACAGGGGGTCCTCCACCTCTTGGAAGCCCTCCAGGCCGCCCACGCGGTAGCTCTCAACGGCTCCCATCAGGATGACCTGGCACGCCCAGATGGCCAGGATGGACTGCGCGTGGATGAGGCTGGGGTTGCCCAGGTAGTCCAGCCCGCCCTCCGAGAAGATCTGCGCGCCGGCCTTGAACCATACCGCCTCGCCGAAGTTCACGCCGTTGCCGGCCAGCAGCTCGGGGGTCAGGCAGCCCAGCGCACCCAGCAGAGCCCAGCGAGCGTGGATCACCTCCAGCTCGCGGTTCTTCGCGAACGTCTCGGGGTCGGCGGACAGGCCGGCCGTGTCCCAGCCGTAGTCGCCGGCGTACTCGCCGGTGAGGTATGACGGCGGGGAGGAGAACGGGCCCAGGAACAGGTTGCGGTCGGGGCCGTAGAAAGCGCTGCTGGAAGCCGCCTTGGCGGTCTTCCTCATCGTCACGCGGGCCTCGACATTGTTCACCTTCGCGGCGAGCTCGGCGCTCTGCCCGACGAAGGTGGACGGGAGCACAGCGGCGTTCGCGAGAGCAGCCATTTTAACAGTAATGGAAGTCCCGAAACAGAAGCTGTAGATGATGGATTCCTGGAGGTGATGATTTCTGATGGTAAAGTGGAATGATGGTGAGTTTTATACAGCAGTGAGGTGAGAGCACCTGTGACTGACTGAGTTCGAGGGAGGGAGAAATCCAAAAGATGGGAATCAGGGAGGGGGATCGCCAGAGGAATCGGGAATCTGAATTGACTGGTTCTCGGACTCTCAGCGTCATCTGATTGGCTGCTGGCTGATCACGGAGCGCGTCCCTGGCTTGTGTGTGACGCTCGGGTTAGTAAAAATCGTCCCATTTGCGGTTTACGGATCAATGCAATCCGAATTCAGCCAATCGTGAAGGCTGTGGGCGCGACTGTCGTGGGCGCATGGTGGTTAGCCGTGTTGACGGGGTGTGGGCGAGGTGCTGAAACGACATTCGCAATCGTTTGCACAGTGCGCGGACCTGGGATTGCCACGAGGGAGCCCTGTGTACCAGTGGTGGTGTGTGTGGTGGAAATCGTCGTAAAGATCGAAATAGTTTTCGCCACAAGTCGCGGTAGGGGTAAGATTGGTTCCAAATATTGTGGTGATCTTGGGCTGTATAGTGCAAGCTGATTGGAGAAGCATCACTTACAAATCCAAATGGCACGACGATTCAACACATCTCCCACAACCATGGCCCAACCAAACCCAGCCCACCAATACAGTACACAGGCCACACATTCCGCCAACAAGAGTCGAGCACACATATCTCCGATGTAGTCGAAGTCCACTCACGAAGGATCTAAATTCTGGAGTGCCATGTGTACATGGTGAAGAATGCATTGGCTTATGGATGTATTTGAGTTAGTGCACACAAATGTTGTTGCTTGAACCTCCTTATCACCAAATTGTGCACAGCATTTGCCAAGTCAAATGTGATTCGAGAGGAATGCACAATACCGCTCTCATTATTACACTGATGTCACTGGTTGAACCACCTTCCACCAATCCCCATCATAAATCCTGTGTGTCAGACGTGACAGAGGGAAATGCGTAGTGGAATTTTGAGGGAGATGCTGATTGAAGCCTGTGTTATTGCACGCTGGTTGCACCGCTTGATCCACCTTCTACCAGCTTTCGCAGAATATCCGGCATGTCGTATGTGATGTTGTTGAGGGGAACGTCGAGATCGCTCTTGAAGATGCGAGAGACTGTGAGCACCGTGTCCTGCAGTGGTCATAGTAGCGAGCAACACAAACAGAGCAAACATTACAAAGAATGCTCATGAAATGATGTAAACTGCGTTGGTGTTGATGGGAACGCTGAGGTCACTCTTAAAGATGCAACAGACAGTTGACACCGCGTCCTGCAGTGCAGCTAAGAGCAAACAGCTCAAAGAGAATGCATGAGCGGCATATAACATGTCATGCTGTGCAGGTCCCTCGTTGAGTCTCAAAATACAGCTCTTTAGAGTCCAATAATGAAACGCACCCTGTCGTAAGCCGGGCGAGTTGTTCCTCAGAATTCGTCACGTGCACCGACTTGCCAAAGTTTAAGACGTCGAGATGTGAGTCGTTGAACTCTTTAGATAACCACACTTCCATGGCTAGAACCGAGCCATACCTTGTCATAGAGCCAGGCGAGTAGCGCCTCTGAGTTGAATCGTGCTGTCAACCCCCTAGAATGGCTATAACTGAGCCATACCTTGTCATAGAGCCGGGCGAGTTGCGCCTCAGAATTCGTGGCGTGCACCGACTTGCCAAGGTTGAAGATGTCAAGATGTGAGTTGATGAATCCCAAAACGCTCCTCATTTAGGGGTTAACTACGAGACATACCCTGTCGTAGAGTCGAGCGAGCTGTGCCTCTGAGTTTGTTGCATGCACCGACTTGCCGAAGTTGAAGATGTCGAGATGCGAGTCGTTGAACCGTGCCGTCACCCGCCTCACATCCTCCTCCAGGTGCTCAAAGCGGCCCACAAAGTCATACTGGACATGGGCCAAGCCACATATGTCCACCTGAGATGGAAGGGGTAAACAGGTAAAAGCAGGTGAAATATTATGGAAATGTGTGCAGTGCAGATTAGGCAGTCACCCGCCTCACATCCTCCTCCAAGTGCTCAAAGCGGCCCACGAAATCGTCCTGGACGTGGCCAAGCCACAGATGTCCACCTGAGAAAGGAGGGGAGAAGAAAGTGAAGCAGATACAATGCACCCAGATAAGATTCGTTGAACCTAGCAGTCACCCGCCTCACGTCCTCCTGCAGGTGCCAAAAATGGCCCACGGAGTCACACTGAACGTGGGCCAAGCCACAGACGTCCACCTGAGATGGGACGGAAAACGAAAACAGGGGTAAGCAGCAAACACATGGCTTGAAAAATAGAGGAGGGGGATGGGAGGGGTTTGGAGTGCAAGGGGAAAAGTGGCACAGACGCATTGACTACAAACGAGGCTGGTTGAATCGCAAGTGCTTCTAGTGAGATACCAGATGGGCATTTTCGAAAAGAATTGCAACGAATGAGATCTGGGAAGCTCATGAGATGGCACGAGACGGCACGAGACGGCACGAGACGGCACGAGACGGCACGAGACGGCACAAGAAGGCTTACACATACATGCTAAAGAAGCACACCCATCCAGACACCATATAGACATTCCCGAAAAGAGAAACGGTATACCTGCATCGAGATGCGCCGTTTTCCAGTCTGTCTCGGCATTTCTCAAGACTGACACACCTTGGCATACGTGTGCCTCGGATGGTCCAGCAGCCGGACGAGATCCGGGAAGCTCACGAGATCAGTCGCACACCAGCCTAGACTGTGCTTACGCCCACCCACTGACATACATTCAGACACCAGATACACTCAGAAAGTACCTGTCTTGAGATGTGTCGGTCCGTCTTCACATGCGTCCGCCTCAAGTGATCCAACAGCCGAATGAAATCGGGGAAGCTCACGAGGTCAGTGGCCGGGTCCTTCAGCAGATCCAGAATCCTCTTGGCCGTCCCAAAAAACTCCTGATTCCAAAACTTCCTCGTGCCCCACCCGTCTTTCCGCTCCGGCGCGTCTGTGATCACCAGCTTATTCAGATAAGTCGACGCGATCCGCACGTATGGGTTGCGCACGAATGTGAATTTGAACATGGAGCGCCGGGTCATGAGCTTGGTCGCTTGCTTCTCGGAGTATTTCTGAGAAAGGTCCCCCAGCCCGCTCTGCTTGTGGCTGTGCGCCAGGAAGGGGTCCCGGGGTTTCGGCAGGCCGAGCATTGCTCGCAGCCACATCTTCCAACCCGTGCAGGCGACCTTGGGCATGCTGCAATAAGCAATGCCAAGGGTTGCTGGAGTAGGGGTAGGGAGAAAGAGGAGAGATGGAGGCACAGAAGGAAGAGGAGGGGTTCAGGAGGCCGAGCTTGGCCCGCAGCCACATCTTCCAACCCGTGCAGGCGACCTTGGGCATGCTGCAATAGGCGATACCTAGGGTTGCTGGTTGGAGTGAAGGTGGGGGGAAAGGGGGATGAACAAACGAACGTGAATTTGAACATGGTGCGCCGGGTCGTGAGCTTGGTCGCCTGCTTCTCAGAGTACTTCTGAGACAGATCCCTCAGCCCGCTCTGCTTGTGGCTGTGCGCTAGGAAGGGGTCCCCGGGTTTCGGCAGGCCGAGCATGGCCCGAAGCCACATCTTCCAGCCCGTGCAGGCGACCTTAAGCATGCTGCAGTAGGCGATACCTAGGGTTGCTGGTTGGAGTGAAGGCGGGGGAAAGGTGGGGAAAACGGGAATGAACGGATGTGAATTTGAACATGGAGCGCTGGGTCATGAGCTTGGAATCTGGATGCGTGCTTCTCGGAGTATTCTTGCGAGAGGTCCCCCAGCCCGCTCTGCTTGTGGCTGTGCGCGAGGAAGGGGTCGAACGGGTTGGGGAGGCCGGGCATGGCTCTCAGCCACATCTTCCAACACGTGCAGGCGACCTTGGGCATGCTGCAATAGGCAATGCCCAGGGTTGCTGGAGTAGGGGTTGGGAGAAAAGGGAGAGATGGAGGCTCAGCAGGAAGAGGGGTTCGGGAGGCCGAGCTTGGCCCGCAGCCACATCTTCCAGCCCGTGCAGGCGACCTTGGGCATGCTGCAATAGGCGATACCTAGGGTTGCTGGTTGGAGCGAAGGTGGGGGGAAAGGGGGATGAACAAACGAACGTGAATTTGAACATGGTGCGCCGGGTCGTGAGCTTGGTCGCCTGCTTCTCAGAGTACTTCCCAGCCCGCTCTGCTTGTGGCTGTGTGCGAGGAAGGGGTCGGGGGGGTTGGGCAGGCCGAGCATTCCTCACAGCCACATCTTCCAGCCCGTGCAGACCACCTTGGGCATGCTGCAGTAGGCGATGCCTAGAGTTTCTGGAGTAGGGGTAGGGAGAAAGAGAGATGGAGGCACAGCAGGAAGAGGAGGGGTTGGGGAGGCCGAGCTTGGCCCGCAGCCGCATCGTCCAGCCAGTGCAGGCGACTTCAGGCATGATGCTGTAGGCGACACCCAGGGTTTCTGGCGTTTGGGAAGGCGGGGCATGGAGAACCGGGGTAGCAAAAGAAAGGGGGAATGGGTGACGTTCAAATCACACTCCCTGGTGGCTCGGAGCATTTCTGGAAAGGTCCCCCAGGCCGCTGTGCTTTTGAGTCGACTCAAAAGCAGGTCCCCCAGGCCGCTGTGCTTTTGAGTCGACTCAAAAGCAGGTCCCCCAGACCGCTGTGCTTGAGGCTGTGCGGGAGAAGGGTCCCGAGGGTTGGGGAGGCCAACCATGCATGCGCATCTTACGTCCCCCACCAAAAAAGTATGCGCACGGCTGAACAGTCATGGGCCAGGCGCGCTCCACCAGGCCAACAAGAGCACCCATGTCTATACGCACCCATCCATACACACACCCATCCATACATGCATCTTACGTTCCACAGCAAAGAAGTATGCAAACAGCTGGACGGTCATGGGCCAGGCATGCATGTACAACCATGCATTCACAAGTCCAATTTTACAAGCAACCATCCATACATGCATCATACGTTTCATGGCAAAGAAGCATGCGAACGGCTGCACGGTCATGGGCCAGGCTCGCATTTGTGCACCCGTGAATGCTCGCATGTGTGCACCCGTGGATGCTTGCATGTGTGCACCCGTGAATGCTTGCATGTGTGCACCCGTGAATGCTCGCATGCGTGCATCTGTGAATGCTCGCATGTGTGCACCCGTGAATGCTTGCATACATGCCATCATGCAAAGGCAGACACATACGTTCCACGGCAAAGAAGTATGCGAACGGCTGCACGGTCATGGGCCAAGCTCTCATGCATGCAGAGATTCATGCACACATGCACACATTGATGCACACATGCACACATTGATGCACACATTGATGCACACATTGATGCACACATGCACACATTGATGCACACATGCACACATTGATGCACACATGCACTCATCGATGCACACATGCACTCATCGATGCACACATGCACTCATTGATGCACACATGCACTCATCGATGCACACATGCACTCATCGATGCACACATGCACTCATTGATGCACACATGCACTCATCAATGCACACATGCACTCATTGATGCACACATTGATGCACACATGCACTCATATCCACATGCCCTTACGTTCCACAGCAAAGAAGTAGGCGAAAGGCTGCACGGTCATGGGCCAAGCGCGCTCCGCCAGGCAAAGCGGGGTGAAGAGGCGGAAGGACGGCCGGCGGTGCTTGGCTCTTGCTGCGATGAAGTCAGCCAGGGTGGTTGGCTCCATGACCACAAGCCCGGTGGTTTGTGAAAGTAGGAAGAGGTCGGCCACCTGGGGGTGGGAAGGAGAGGGGGGGGTGAGGGGAAGAGGTGAAGGGAGGGGGTGAAGGGAAGGGGTGAAGCGAAGGGGTGAAGGGAAGGGGTGAAGGGAGGGGGTAAAGCGAAGGGGTGAAGGGAAGGGGTGAAGGGAGGGGGTGAAAGGAAGGGGTGAAGGGAAGGGGTGAAGGGAAGGGGTGAAGGGAAGGGGTGAAGGGAAGGGGTGAAGGGAAGGGGTGAAGGGAAGGGGTGAAGGGAAGGGGTGAAGGGAAGGGGTGAAGGGAAGGGGTGAAGGGAAGGGGTGAAGGGAAGGGGTGAAGGGACCCAAGGCATCTCTCGTGCTGCGATGACGTCAGCCAGGGTGGTTGGCTCCATCACCACAAGCCCGGTGCTTTAAGACAGGAGAAAGAGGTCGGCCACGTGGGGGTGGGAGAAACGAGACGGTGGCAAGAGGCAAGGCAGGGGAAGTGGCAGCAGAGAGCGGGGTGAAGAGGGGGAGCGAGGGCAGGCGGTGCTCTCCCGTGATGTGGTGCAGTCGCGCTGTTGGCTCCATGACCACAAGGCCCGTGGCTTTACACAGCAGGAAGAGATCAGCCACCCGCACAGGTGGGGGCGGGAGGGAGAGCGGAGTGGGAGGGAACGGCAAAAACAGCAAGGAAGGAGGAAAGAAATGCATACACATAGATCTCACCTCTCGCTGCTTGCAAGTCACCACCATCTCTGCCAACTGCTCAGCGCCCCCTTCCTTCTTATCCCCCATCGCCTGCACGAGCTTCTCTATGGATGAGGGAGGGTGCACTGCATATCTCACCTCCCGCTGCTTGCAAGTCACAACTATCTCTGCCAACCATTCAGCGCCCCCCTTCCCACAATCTCCATCGCCCGCACCAGCTTCTCCCCGCAGTTTGCGGCCCAAAGGAAGGGGGTTGGCAGGGGAGGCATACCTATAGATCTCACCTCCCGCTGCTTGCAAGTCACAACCATCGCAGCCAGCCGCTCAGCTCCCCCCTCTCCCTTATCCCCCATCGCCTGCACCAGCTTCTCTATGGTTTCGGGAGGGTGCAGTTTTAAGCATATCTCACCTCTCGTTGCTTGCAAGTCACAAACATCTATGCCAGCCGCTCAGCGCCCCTCTCCCCTTTATCCCCCATCGCCAGCACCAGCTGACCTGACTGTCTGTGGAACTCACCTCTCTCTGCTTGCAAGTGACAACCATCTCTGCCAGCCGCTCAGCGCCCCCCTCCCCCTTATCCCCCATTGCCCGCACCAGCCTCTCCCCGCAATTCACCTCTCACGTCAAGGAGTGGGGCTTGAGTATATATCTCACCTCTCGCTGCTTGCATGTCACCACCATCGCAGCCAACCGCTCAGCGCCCCCCTCCCCCTTATCCCCCATTGCCCGCACCAGCCTCTCCCCGCAATTCACCTCTCACGTCAAGGAGTGGGGCTTGAGTATATATCTCACCTCTCGCTGCTTGCATGTCACCACCATCGCAGCCAACCGCTCAGCGCCCCCCTCCCCCTTATCCCCCATTGCCCGCACCAGCCTCTCCCCGCAATTCACCTCTCACGTCAAGGAGTGGGGCTTGAGTATATATCTCACCTCTCGCTGCTTGCATGTCACCACCATCGCAGCCAACCGCTCAGCGCCCCCCTCCCCTTTATCCCCCATCGCCCGCACCAGCTTTTCCCCGCAGTTTGCAGTCCGGAACGCGGCGGACGGCGAGACGGCCGGCGAGCGGTCGGCATCGAAGTAAGAGACGATGTGGGGCAGGTGGGAGGGGATGGCAGCGGCAATGGTGAAGTCGATGGAGGGGCGGTGCAGCATGGTGAGGGCGAGGGTGCGGGCAACACAATCCGCAGGGTTGAGATTGGAGGGACAGCCGGAGCAGGTGTGGCGTGGGGTGGCCTGGAGAGCAAGGGGACAAAAAACGAGGGAGAAGCGGCGGGAGAGAGTGAAGTCAATGGAGGGGCGGTTCTGCATGGTGAGGGCGAGGGAGAGGTGGGCTAGGGGGCAAGGGTTTCAAGACAGAGGAGGTCAGAAAAGGGGTGAGAGGGTGCGAGCGATGCAGTCAGCATGGTTGAGATTGGAGGGACAGCCGGAGCAGGTGTGGCGTGGGTTGGCCTGCAAGGAGTGAAGAAGAGGGGGGAGGGGTACGGTATAAAGACACAGGTGTAGCATGGTGAGGCTGAGAGCGAGGCCGAGAGTGAGGCCGAGAGTGAGGCTGAGGGTGCAGCCGGAGCAGGTGTGGCGTGGGTTGGCCTGCAAGGTGTTAGGAGGCAAGGGTTTTAAGACACTGGGAATGGTGCAGCATGTTGCAGGCAACATCGATTGGTCCTTCAAAGGGCCAATGGGGTGTCACACATTGCTGTTTTCCACGCGTGTCTGGTTGTTCTCCCCCTCCCGCGCCATCCCCTCCACAGCAGGCGAGGGCTGCAGTCTGGCGTAGCAGCAGTTTGTGAAAAAAACATACGTCGAGGTAGACGCGGATGCTGTTCCCATCACCTCTACACCAGGGGAGGCAGGGCTGCAGCCTGGCGTAAAAACGAGCTCTACCTGAAGTTTGCGCAAAGCCTTACATCAAGGTAGACGCCGATGCTGTTTTCCACGCGCTTCTGGTTGACCTCCTCCTCCACCATCGCCTCCACAGCCAGGGACGGCTGCAGCCTGGCGTAGCAGCAAACTCTCTACCAGAAGTTTGTGAAAAAAACTTACATCCAGGTAGACGCCAATGCTGTTCTCCACGCGTGTCTGGTTGACCTCCTCCTCCACCATCGCCTCCTCAGCCAGGGACGGCTGCAGCCTGGCATACAGTGTAGCTTCAGCCTGGCAACCCACCGCACCTGTGTGTGCTTGTACACTCACATCAAGGTAGACGCCGATGCTGCTCTCCACGCGTGTCTGGTTGACCTCCTCCTCTTCCACCATCGCCTCCACAGCCAGGGACGGCTGCAGCCTCACGTAGAAGCAAACTCTCTACCAGAAGCTTGTGAAAAAACTCACATCCAGGTAAACTCCGATGCTGTTTTCCACACGTGTCTGGTTGGCCTCCTCCCGCACCATCGCCCCCACAGCAGGGGACGGCTGCAGCCGCGCATAGCAGCGCTGCACGTGCGCCCACACGAGGCACCCCACCCGCTCCTCCTGCCAGTCCTCCTGCAGGGAGGCAAGGGGGGAGAAACAAGAGGCGCATAGAAAGAAGCAAGTAAATTGCCTTGCCCTATTGGCTGTACAGCAGCCCGCCTGACATAGCTCCGTTGCGTGTGCGCCCACACCAGGCACCCCACTCGTTCCTCCTGCCACTCCTCCTCCAAGGGTCTGGAACCAGCAGTGCAGAGCGTTGGTCTCGACCCACCTGTGCAGAGCCAGAATCCTAGGTTGGAGCAGAGGGTACTGGATACACTGGGCTAGTTAGTTATTGCCACCACTCAACATCGCCACCAGTCAACATCGCCACCAGTCAACATCGCCACCAGTCAACATCGCCACCAGTCAACATCGCCACCAGTCAACATCGCCACCAGTCAACATCGCCACCAGTCAACATCGCCACCAGTCACCACGCTATGAACCCATTGGCCCCCTCTCAGCACTCACCACGCTGCTGCGCTGCAGAGCATCCGCCTGGAACCACCCGTGCAGAGCCAGCTTCCTCGGCAATCCCAGGGGCCGCTCCTCCACCTCATGGCTGTCCAGCTCGCCAGTCCACAGCGACACAGGCACCGCCTCATCCTCGCCATAAGCATCCTCGTTTGCTTTACTGCGCGCTCCGTTACCTGCCCCACTCTCTGTATCCGAGTCTGAGTCAGAGTCTGCATCAGCGTCGGCATTGGCGTCTGCGTCGGTGTCAGGTGATGACGTCTGGGAGAAGGCGACCTTGCGGGCCGATGCCCTTTTGATTCTCTCCCATGTGTCTCGGAAGCATGGGCCGTAGTGGTGCTGAGAGGGAGAGCGAGGGGAAAAGAAGAGGAGGCAAGGAGAAGGTAAGAGAGAGAAGTCGAGGATGAGAAAGCCAGCCTTGCACGCGGATGCTGTCTTGACTCTCTCCCAGCTGTCTCGAAAGGACGCAGTGATGCTGGTATAGAGAGAGGGGAAGAGAAGAGCGAAACAATTATTTTAGAGTGGAGGGGCGTTAAAGGCAGTCAAGTGACTGACGCCTTCTTGAGTCTCTCCCATGTGTCTCGAAAGCACGGGCTGTAGACGTGTTGATAGACAGAGGGAGAGGGAGGAAAGGGTATGAGGAGAGGAGTCAGTGACTGATGCTCTCTTGATTCTCTCACATGTGTCCCGGAGGCACGGGCCGTAGTGGTGGTGATAGGGGAAGAGGGAGAGGAGGGAGGCAAGGAGAAGGGAAGATGGAGGGGAAGGGCATGGGGAAAGCAGTCCCGCAACCGATGCCCCTGGCATGGCACAGGCATGTGTCGAATCACCCCCTCAAGCTCTCTTGAGTCTCTCCCAGGTGTCCCGGAAGCACGGGCCGTGGTGGTGGTGATATGGTGAGGGGAAGAGCGGAGGGAAACAGAGAAGGTAGAGCGGAGGGGCATGAGGGGGCAGTCAACTGACTGACGCCTTCTTGGTCCTCTCCCATGAGTCTCGGGAGCACCAACCACAGAAAACTCGGGGGGAACATTCACGAACACACATCACAAGCTGCCATTCATTACAACCATAGCATGCACTCATCCATGCTCCATGGTGCATTCACAGTCTCGGGGGGGAAGGCCTCACTCATGGTCTTGGAGGTCAAGTGAACAGCTCGTGGATGAACCTCCGGGTGGCGTCAGCAGCACTCATCCCGTGCTATGCTTCTAGTGTCTGGCATGCACGAGCTGCTCTAAGAGCGAGCGGTTCATTCACTGACTTGAGGGTGAAGTGAACAGCTCGTGAAGTGAACAGCTTGTGAAGTGAACAGCTCGTGAAGTGAACAGCTCGTGAAGTGAACAGCTCGTGAATCAACAGCTCGTGGATGAACAGCTCGTGGATGAACCTCCGGTCCGTGTGGAGTCAGCAGCAGAGCGACTGGCGTCCACCACGGTCAGCACAGCCTCGGAACAGGACTGAAAACGGCACACGTGGCATACCCGTCGCTCTCACCCATACCCTGCTCTTCCACGCACTCACTGTCTTGGGGGTGAACACCTCGTGGGTGAAACCTCCAGTGGCGTCAGCGGCACTCATCCCACTCATGCTATGCTTCTAGTGTCTGGCATGCACGAGCTTCTCTCACAGCGAGAGGTGCACTCACTGTCTTGGGGGTGAAGTGAACAGCCCGTGAATGAACCGCCGGGTGGCGTCAGCAGCAGAGAGGCTCGCCTCCACCACGGCCAGGACCATAAACGGCCCGTGTTGCGCACCCATCGCTCACACTCATCCCATGCTCTCACATCCCATACTGCTGCCACGCACTCACTGTCTTGGGGGTGAAGTGAACAGCTCGCGGGTGAACCTCCGGGTGGCGTCAGCAGCAGAGAGGCTCGCCTCCACCACTGCCAGGGTCGGTTCAAACAGAGCAGAGAACGACGTGCATCCCATGCTCACATCCATGCCACTACCTCCTGGTGGTGGCATCAGCTGCACACATCCCCTCCTCTATTGCCATGCACTCACTGCCTTGGGCGTGAACAGCTCGTGAATGAATCTCCGCGTAGCATCGGCAGCGGAGAAGTTGGCCTCCACCACTGTCAGGGTTGGTTCAAACAGAGCAGAGAATGGCAAATGCGGCATTCGCATCCGCTGCTGCTGCTGCTGGTTCGCCGGGGGCCCGTCTGTGAGCCAGAGCACTCGGTAGGTCAGCTGGTGCACTGCTGCCACTGCCTGGGCCACACATACGGTCTCCAGGCGCTGGGAGAGGGGGCCCTGAGAGGTGGGGATGAGAGGGGGAAGAGGGGGAAGAGGGGGAAGAGGGGGAAGAGGGGGAAGAGGGGGAAGAGGGGGAAGAGGGGGAAGAGGGGGAAGAGGGGGAAGAGGCGGAAGAGGGGGAAGAGGGGGAAGAGGGGGAAGAGGGGGAAGAGGGGGAAGAGGGGGAAGAGGGGGAAGAGGGGGAAGAGGGGGAAGAGGGGGAAGAGGGGGAAGAGGGGGAAGAGGGGGAAGAGGGGGAAGAGGGGGAAAAGGCGGAAGAGGGGGAAGAGGGGGAAGAGGGGAAAAGGCGGAAGAGGGGGAAGAGGGGGAAGAGGGGGAAGAGGGGGAAGAGGGGGAAGAGGGGGAAGAGGGGGAAGGCAGCACAAGGGGATCTGTCTGTGAGCCAGAGCACTCGGTAGGTGAGCTGGTGCACTGCTGCCACGGCCTGGGCTACACATACGGTCTCCAGGCGCTGGGGGAGGGGGCCCTGGATGGGAGCACTCGGAAGGTCAGCTGGCGCAGTGCTGGCACTGCCTGCGCCACGCATAGGGTCGCTAAACGCTGGGGGAGAGCGCCGTGATAGGTGGGATAGGTGGGCCCTCATAGGGTGGCTAAACGCTGGGGGAGAGGGCCGTGTGACAGGAATACAGAAGCGGGCGAGAAGTGTTGGGGGAGTCATTGGGGAGGGGGAGGGGGAGTCATTGCGGAGGGGGAGGCGGAGTCATTGGGGGGGAAGAGGCGGAGTCATTGGGGAGGGGGAGGCGGAGTCACTGGAGAGGAAAGGGGGAGTCACTGGGGAAGCGGAGTCGTTAGGAAGGGATGACGGGACAGATGGTAAGGGAAAGCGAGGAGAGGGAGAAGCGTGACTCTCGAGAGATTCAGTACTTGGCGTGACTTGGCGATTGAATCGTCGTGAGCTTGCAGAGAGAATCAGGGAAGGACGGAATAACGAACCGTAGCGAAGGCAACGAGGTCGATGTGTTGACACGTGGCAGGACTAGGGTCGGCGTCGCATTCAGGGTCCGATCGCTGGTCCACGAGCTCCCGCCGGATGACAACATCGATATCGCTGTACGCGTTAGTAGCATGATGGCCTTTAACGTAAGAGTAGTAGTGAAGCACGCCGACAGCTGCTAGCAGCACGGCGGTCGCCGGCACTATGAATTTTCCGCGACTCGAATGGCCCTTAGCCGGGCCTCTAAGTGTCGGTTTGCCCTTATATCCGACTGCCATTTGCTACGAATTCGGCTCTAAATACCGGCTCTATGTTACGGGTGGGGTAGCACGAAATGTTATTATCAGTTCTATATTGCTACATTACAGTAGAGTACCACATCGAGCAGAGCAGGTCTACTCAAACACGCTGAGCTGGCAGCTCGGCTTCACACCAGCAACTCTCAAACTACGTCCACACGGCATGAAACATAGGCGTCCAACACTTCAGATCGCACAGTGGGCGTAAAGTAAACAGATAATTCCAGTCAGGAGCGAAGTCAGGCTGAAATTTGGGCATTGGCACAATCTAGGGCCTCCCTCATGTCTTTACTCCGACCGTGAGTCTCTCTCTTCTACGCTCTTCCTACACAGGTATTTGGCCGAGAAGCCGAGCTGATCGCGAACAATTACTGTGCAATCTGTTCGGCCAACCTAGGGCCTGTCATTAGATTTCAACTTCCCCAGAACTCTACCCAACCTTTCTAGATATTACACAATCGGCTTTGCACCACAAACTACCAATGTATACCGCATCAAAGGTCAACCTTACCAAGTTCGGGTTTCGCAGGCTTGTGCTGTTCGAAGCAAACAGCAGGTTCGGCGCTCGTTTGTTCTGCCACTCGCTGTTTCGGGAGGAGGTTCGGTTCACGTTCGATTGGTTGTCGGCACAGCCCCGCATGGCGCACTGGTCTTTGTCAGACAGGGAGAGAGTTTTGGCGCGTTTTTCTTGGGTAAGTGCTCCCCGCCCTCGTCCAAATTCCAGAATCACCACCAAGCCACCTCGGTATTGCGTTGAACCGTTAAGCCACTGGGTAGGCACAAAGTTGCAAATCACGAGCCTAAAACCCATCCTTTTTCATGACGATTTGTTTTCCTAGTAGAGCAGCGCATGTCTGCAACACCATACCCAACATAGGAAGCATAGATATTACCGGCATATCAAACGAGTGTAGCCTGCCTCGTCAAGTATTTACGCAAGTGGGAAGGGAATCAGCATGGTTAAAGCTCATCATGGGATCCTTTCTTTGGCGCCTTAGCCGCTTCGAGATCCCTTCCAAGCTCCTTCTCCTCTTCCACCTCCTCCTTGGACTTGGAGACCTGGGAGGACGGCATCTGAACTGGGATGGCCGCATTCCTCACCACGAAGTCAGTCAGGGGGCCGAGGCGAGTGAGATCTGTGTCGATCTGCACAATGACCAAGGTGAATGCAACAGGCAGGGGAGGTTTGGAACAAAGTCAGCCAAGGGACTGAGGCATGTGAAGGGGCCGAGGCGAGTGAGACCCATGTCGATGTGCATGATCAGGTGGGATAGTTACATGGCATCATTCAGAAAGGTGAGTGCAATTGCAAGTGAAGGGTTGACACATGTTCATACAAGGAATACAATGGCAATCAGTCTGCCAGCCACAACACCAAGAAAAAACAGAAACTACAGATATGTGAAAATTCTTTTGAGGCAGCTCAATAGCAGCGGACCTGTGATGGCCACAGCCCTAGGTGAATAAAATTCAGAAGAATAACAAAGACTCCCAAACTGGAAAAGGGCAGTAAATGTGTACGGGGTTGAGACCACCTCGTGGCAGGGTGGAGCAGCAGATTGGGGAAGAAAGGAAGTGAAGAAGGAACACACTAGGACTAGGAGGGTCACCACATGCATACCGGATGGGACATTCTTGTGGGAGTTTGACAAGAAAAACATGAACGCTACGGAACACACTACCCACTGGGAGGGGTCAGCAAGTGCGTACCGGATGGAACTTTCTCGTAGCGGGGTAGAACAGCAGAGTGGGGAAGGCTGAGACCTGTCATAAAAAAACAGGGTGGATTGACCCCATGTTGCGGGCAGGAAGAAAAAGAAAAAAACAAAGAGCGATGGCTAAAAAGTATGATGTTTAAAACCACGAACCCTTAGTTATCCATAATGAGTCAGAGGAACAAAATTCAACTACAACACGGGGGGTGCTCTTCCGCCCACGCAATGAGCGCCCGGGCTTGGATATGTGCTCCATACTGGAAGGGCTTTTGAGTCGACTCAAAGGTGACTTTTGAGTTGACTCAAAAGCCACCTGCACCAATGATTAATAGTACTTCACCTTTCCTGTAGGGTGACAGCTGGAGGTCCACAGGAAGGAATAGGGCGCCGCTAGACTCCAACACATCTAGGGCCAGGTCCTCACAGACGCGGGTGTGGGTTCGGGCGAAGGCGACGGATGGCATGGCAGCGACGAGCTTTTCGATTCGAAAGCATTCACTCACAGGTGACAGCTGGAGGCTCGCAGGAAAGAATACGGCGCCTCTAGACTCCAGACATCCAGACCTGGGTCCTCCAAGGCGCAGGCATGCTTTCAAGGCGAGGGAAAGTGCGCATGGCAGCAATGAGCGTTTCGATTCAAAAGCAGCTACTCACAGGTGACAGCTGGAGGCATGCCGGGAACATTAGGCCTCCAGGCAAGAATAGGTCGCCTCTAGACTCGAGACAACTAGTCTCAGGTCCTCGTTGGTGTGGGCAGGGCATGCATTCGGGCAACAGCGAGAGGCAGCCGATTGTTTACCTGTGAGTCAGTGACAGCTGGAGGCCTACAGGAAAGCATTGCGCCCCTCTCGATTTACATCCAGGCCCGGGTACTGGTTGTGGCGGACGTTCACTCTGGCAGAGGCGAGAGACGGCGTGGCGGTGAATCTGAGAGCAGAGCACCACAGAGCCGCAGCACTCAGCCTGGTGCTTGCTCACTGAAGCCAGTTGGTCACATCACAGCTACGCCAGGCCAGGGTCCCTCTAGACTTCACTCACATCTCCCGCTTGAGCGCAGTGCAGCACTTGCTCGCAGTCTTGAGCACCACTATGATCAGCCTGGTGCTCTTGCCCACAGCAGCCACTCACGTCACATCACATCTACGCCAGGCCAGGGTCCCTCTAGACTTCACTCACATCCAGTCCCCTGTGGTCTCACATGCAGCCCCCTGTGGACTCACATCCAGGCCCGGGTACTCGTTGTGGCGCGCGTTCATTCAGTCAAAGGCAACCGGCGGCAAGGTGGCGAACTGGAGAGCGAGTTTTCCAGAGATGGCTGCTTACAGGCATGACCGTGGAGACCACAGGAGGAAGGAAGGAATGGGCCTACAGGAAAGAACAGGGCCCCTCAGACTCACATCCAGGCCCCTGTGGACTCACATCCAGGCCAGGGTACTCGTTGTGGCGCGCGTTCATTCGGGCAAAGGCCAGCGACGGCACGGTGGCGAACTTGAGGGCGAGCTTCTTGAAGGTGGAGTCGAGGGCGATGCAGTCTTCACAGGTGTCAATGTCTACCTGGGGAGGGGGGGAATGCAAGAGAGAGAGGCAAGAGAGGAGGGGGGGTGGGGGGTTGGGAAAGGGAGAAGGGAGGGAGGGGGGTGCTTGTGTTCGGTTCTCTAGCGACGAGCTTCTTGAAGGTGGAGTCGAGGGCGATGCAGTCCTCACAGCTGTCAACATCCACCTGGGGAAGGGGGGAAGGGGGAGAGGGGGGGGAGAGGAGAAGTGGGGGGCAATGGGAGAAGGGAAGATGTGTTGTTGCGGCCCATTAACACCTGAGTGCGAGCTTCTTGAAGGTGGAGTCGAGGGCGATGCAGTCCTCACAGCTGTCAACATCCACCTGGGGAGGAGGGGGGGAGGGGGGGAGAGGAGGGGCATGGGGAATAGTACAAGGAAAAGGTCCGTTGCGGCGCATCAACACTTGAGGGCGAGCTTCTTGAATGTGGCATCGAGGCCAATGCAGTCCTCACAGCCATCAATGTCCACCTGGGGAGGGGGGAAATGCAAGAGAGAGAGGCTTCCCCACCACTGTGAGTACCGGACCCCTGGTTGAGACTGCTAGTAACGAGTATAAGCCAATAATACCTTGAGCCACCTTGACGGGTCAACGGTACCTTGAGCATGACGTCCTTTGACTTGTCAAGCACAATCTCCTTGAAAGTCTTCACCACCACTGTCGGCACCGGACCCCTGGTTGAGACTGCTAGTAACGAGTATAAGCCAATAATACCTTGAGCCACCTTGATGGGTCAACGGTACCTTGAGCATGACGTCCTTTGACTTGTCAAGCACAATCTCCTTGAAAGTCTTCCCCACCACTGTGAGCACCGGGCCAGAGTTCTGCATGCAAGCACATGGAAGGGAGATGAGTGGAAAAGGAGGGGAGTGAGTGAGGGAGCAGGGGTGGTGTGTGCGAGGGCCAAGGTCCAGCACAGTCTCCTTGAAAGCCTTCCGCACCACCGCAAGCATCGGGCCAGAGTTCTGCATTCCAACACACGGTGGAGCGATGGCAGAAAGGGAGGGGAGGGGGATGTTGAGGGGGGGAGGGGGGAACGGGGAGGTGAGTGGCCAAGGAATCAAGAGGCGAGGCCTTCGGGTTTCTTCCCCACCAATGTCAGCACCGGGCCAGAGTTCTGCATACTGGCACACGGTGGAGCGATGGCAGAAAGGGAGGGGAAGGAGATGGGGGAGAAGGGAGGAAGGGGGTGGTGGTGGGGGAGAGAGGTGAGTGGGCATTGGGCAAGGAGCAAAGAGGCAGGGTCTTGAATCTCTTGACCGCCACCAGACCGGCCGCTCTGCTTGTATGGGGAGGGGGAGGGCCAGGAGGAACTGGGGAGTGTCTGTGAACGATTTTCTTCCCAAACACTGTTGGCACCAGACTGAGAATTGTACAGCGCGTGCACAATTCGTAATTGCGTCCGAAAGAAAGGGAAATAGCACGTTAAGTAAAAAAAAGAACAGAAGAAAAAAAAACAGACTGGTATGGGTGAGGGAAATAGTAGTGGTAAAAAAAAAAAAAAAAAAAACCTCAATCCACACACACCTTTTGGGAATGAATCCAGACAGGATGTGAGGCTTCAGCAGAAAAAACAAGTCAAGAAAATCTTGAAAGTCAGATCGACACTCACTTTCCCTGGGATGGGGTCAGATAATAACGCTCCAACACACCTGCGCAGACTTAGTAACATCTATAGAACAGCTCCAATCTAACCTTCTCTGGGATGGGGTCGGAGAGATAGTAGGGCTCCAAGGCATCTGCAGCAAGCTCACGAGCAAAGGACTGCAGAAAGGATGCGGTGGACACGGAGGAGTTGGGTGGGTGGGTGGGTTGGTGGGGGGGGGGGGTGGTGAATGGGAGCTTGGAAGGAGAGCACGTAGGGCTCCAAGGCACCTGCAGCAAGCTCACGAGCACAGGCCTGCAGAAGGGATGCAGTGGACGGGGAGGAGTTGGGTGGGTGGATGGGTTGGTGGGTGGGTGGGTGGGTGGGAGGGGGGGTGGTGAATGGGAGCTTGGAAGGAGAGGAAGTAGGTGTTAGAGATAGGCTGCAATTCGGTTGGCACAACTTTGTGTGTTGGCAATTTGTTGGTTTTAGGGATACGCATATTTGTTAGGTTGGGTGTAGCTATGTTTTCATCCCCAACCTATCCCAACCCAATCCATCCCAAATCCCCACGATTTGGGAGGATTCCCTTGGGATTCCCTCCGATTCTCCCTTATCCCTTCCCATCCTCTCCGATGCTCGGTACTTAAGGATGTATGCTCTAGCTCATTCCATCAATAAAAGTTCTCAGTTTCTGATAGTAGGGCTCCAGCGCATCTGCAGCAACCTCACGAGCACAGGCCAGCACAGTTGGTGCGTGGGTTGTGGGTGGAGACGAGACAGGGGTAGACAAAGGCAGCGGTGCATTGTGCGTGGAGCTTGAGCTTGACTTCATATATGAGGCCCCTCAAAACCTTTAGAGACGCCTCAAAAGTCTGTTCTTGAGGAGCCAAAAAAATAGTGTGGGTTGGCGGCGGAGATAGGGGTGGACAAAGGAAGGAAGTGGTGCGTTGTCTGTGGAATTCTTGAGGCGCCTCAATAATTTTTGAAGCGCCTCAAAAAAAGAAGTGGTGCGTTGCCTGTGGAATCCAAGCCAACGACTTGACTTCATCCGTCTCATTGGAGCTAATGCTCACGAGACTTCTTCTCACAGCTATATGGGTGGTCACTGGCCAGCCATTAAGAAGATCCCTCACCTCGATATCATCGCTGGTGACTTGCTGTTGAACTCGAAATGGATTTCTCTCCCTACTCTCTCCACTCTCTCCCCACTCTCTCCTCACTCTCTCCACACCATTTCCCCACTCTTCCCACTCTCTTGCCAATCTCTCTCCACTCTCTCCACTCTCTCCCCACTCTCCCCAGTCTCTCCCCACTCTCTCCTCACTCTCTCCCCTCTATCTCCGCACTCTCCCAACTCTTTTCCCACACTCTTCCCACTCTCTCCTCACTCCCTCCGAACTCTCTCCTCCCTCTCCCCAATGTCTCCCCACTCTCTCCCCACTCTCTCCACTTTCGCTCCACTCTCCCTACTCTCTACCCACTCTCTCCTCACTCTCTCCTCCCTCTCTCGACTGTCTACACGACACCCTGCTTTAGAGTCTAATCTTTCCTAGACCAATCCGGGTGGTCAGTTGAGGGAAGTCTCACCTCGATATCATCCGTGGTGAGTTGCCTGTCGAACTTGAACTTGATTTCATCCGTCTCATTGGACACCATGCCCATGATCTGCAGACAAGGGGAGGGAGAGGGAAGCAGCAGAGGGAGGAAGAGGCAAGCACAGAGTTTGAGGCACCTCCAAAAATGACTAGATGTCACGCGTCTCATTGAACACCATGTGCCCATGATGTGCAGACAAGGGGTGGGAAAGAGGGAGTCAGAGGGAGACAGAGGCAAGCATTTGAGCACAGTTGAGGCACCTCCAAAAATGATTAGATCTCACGCGTCTCACTGGATTGGACACCACCCCAAGATCCGTTGATAGAGAAAGATGCGTTGGGGCAAAGAGAGAGGGACACCATGGCTGGCTTGATCCGTCTCATTGGACACCATGCCCATGATCTGGTGATAGAGATTGGATGAGAGGCGTTCAACCAACACTAACCGCAGTGGCGCTGCGCTTGAAGCCAGAGTATTCAAGAGCACCAAAATACTCTGGCCGAAGCCAGAGCATGGCGCATGCGCATGCGCATGCTCATGCCCATGCCCATGCCCATGCCCATGCCCATGCTCATGTTCATGCTCATGTTCATGTTCATGTTCATGCTCATGCTCATGCCTATGCTCATGCTCATGCCCATGCCTATGCTTTATGCTCATGCCCATGCTTTATGCTCATGCCCATGCTTTATGCTCATGCGTACCGCAGTGGCGCCGTGCTTGAAGCCAAAGTACTCGAGGGCGTGCTCTGAGTCTGGTAGGTCGCTGTTGACATGCACAAAGAGCGCCTGGTGGTTAGGGGGAAAGGGGAAACGGGAAAAGGGGGGGAAGGGAGGGGGGGGGGGGGGACACAGGAGAGGGGGTAAAGGGGGAGCCAAGGGACGTATTCAAGGGCATGCTCGGAGTCTGGTAGGTCGCGGTTTCGACTCCTGGGGTGAAAAAGAGAGCGCCTGGGAGAGGACACAAGGGGTTGGGTCGACACAGAGTCTCGAAGCATGCTCTAAGGAGGGCGGGCGGAATGGGCGTGCTCTGAGTCTGGTAGGTCGCTGCTGATGATGATGCCGACAAAGAGCGCCTGGGAGAGGACACAAGGGGTTGCATAGACACAGAGGAGGGCGGCGGGAGGGAATGCTCGAAGGAGGGTGGAACAGGCATGCTTTGCGACCAGTGGGTCGGTGTTGATGTAGACAAAGAGGGCCTGGTGGTTGAGAAAGGGGGCGGGGGGAGGGTGGGGAGGGTGGGGTGGGGGCGACAGGGGAAGACGATATGTACGAGATGGAGATAAGCACGATGTACAAACGGGGGGTGAGATAATCTACTTTTGAGGCGCCGCATAAATAGATAGAACCAACACTGCCCTCAGACACCCTGGTCGTGTGCCTACCTATTTTCAAAATCCCTCTTTTGATAGGCTATCTATTTCAAACTGCTCTCAAATTCCCTCCGTTTCTTAAAAAATGCAAGGTCCCTCTCTCTTATGGTTAACAATAGCTCCAAACATCGCCCGCCGTTTCCCTCCCCTCATACACACCACCTTCTATCCCTAACCCTAACTGACCACTCCTGTCCCTCCTTACCTCTCTCTTACCGGCGCTCCCCCCTCCCACCCCCAAACCTATCACCTGCCCTTTGCCCTCCCACCCCCAAATCTCACCGGTGCTCCCCCCTCCCTCCCTCCCCCAAATCTATCACCCGTCCTTCCCCCTCTTACCCCCCACAACCTCTCACCGGTCCTTTCACCCGCCTGGCAGCCTCTGTCACCACTGCCAGGTTCTGGGAGTAGGTCCCAAGACTCACTTGGTATACTGTCCCATATCGCCAATACTCCCCCCCCCTTCTTCCCCCCCCTTCTTCCCCCCCCCCCTCTTTCCCCCCCCACCCTGTCGCCTCCTCTCACCAGTCCTTTGACCCGCCTGGCAGCCTCTGTCACCACTGGCAGGTGCTAAGAGTAGGTCCCAAGCCTTAGTAGTTCTATCTTAGTCTCTTAACCTCTCTCAAGAGACAGACACCCCAACTCACCAGTCCTATGACCCGCCTCGCATCCTCCTTCATCCCTCATCAACACCCCCTCCCCTCCCCACCTTCCAGTCACTCACCAGCCCTTTGACCCGCCTCGCAGCCTCCTTCACCACTGGCAGATGCTCGGAATAGGTCTCTGGTGTGGCCAGGAAGAGCACCTGGTGATGCCGGGGGGGGATTGGCAACATGGAGGAGGTGAATACGAAGGAGAGAAGCGTATAAGGCGGATACGAATAAGAGACTGTGGCCATAAGAGGGATGCAGGGACAAGAGGGAGTGGAGTCAAGAGGTGGTATCCAGAGAAACCTGATTATTTCAAATGTCACTAAGAACTCACTTGTTTCTTTATAGCGCTGTTGAAGATAGTGTACTGGCTGTCCTCGTCATAGGTGGTAACCAGAGGCAGCTTGTTGGCCGTTACAAAGGCAGCGATGCCAGTGCTGGTGAAAGGACCGTCTGTACGATACAGGGGGGAGATAAAAGGGGGAGGTACAGGGGAGGTACGGGGGAGGTACAGGGGAGGTACGGGGGAGGTACAGGGGAGGTACGGGGGAGGTACAGGGGAGGTACAGGGGAGGTACAGGGGAGGTACGGGGGAGGTACAGGGGAGGTACGGGGGAGGTACAGGGGAGGTACGGGGGAGGTACAGGGGAGGTACGGGGGAGGTACAGGGGAGGTACGGGGGAGGTACAGGGGAGGTACGGGGGAGGTACAGGGGAGGTACAGGGGAGGTACGGGGGGGTCGTATAAGGGCTCGTCGTTGGTGGCCTCCTTCTGGTTTTGGAGCCTGTGTGGGGGGACGCTTGGGGTTCCCCAGCAAGGTTTGGTAGGCGGAGTTCAGTCCTATGCTTTGCTACCTCGCTTGTAGTACCCCATGCTACCTAATACAACTGTTGAGGCGCCTCAAAAGTGCTTTGCTACCTCGCTTTTACCCCATGCTACCTAATACAAAGGACCATTCAGCGAGAAGTGTTGGCCGTTGCAAAGGCAGAGGAGGCAGCACTGATGACGGGGCCGTCGTCTGGGAGGGCGCAGTGCAGGGGGGGAGAAACCTTTGCTGCCACTGCCTGCTGTTCCTTGCTCACTAATCTAAACTCTGCTGCAATGCCGGCACGCATTACCCACCCACCCTTCTTCCAACCATACGCAACAAACTTCTCATCTTCATTCTTTATCACTGCAACTGTCGGCCGCTCCTTGCTTACTATCCTGAATGCTGCTGCTCCCATGCTGGCATGGCATGGCATCACCCCACCCACACGTCTTCTTACCATAAGCGGCAAACTGCTCGTCATCCTTCTTAATCACTGCAACTGTCGGCCGCTCCTTGCCCACTATCCTGAATCTTATAGCAATGCCGGCCCAGCACCAACCAACCCATCTCCTTACCATAAGCCACAAACTTCTCATCCTCCTTCTTTATGACTGCCACTGTCGGCCGCTGCTTGCTCACAATCCTGAATTCCGTTGCGATGTTGGCGCCTGTAGTCGCGACAAACTCAATATCGTCGATGTCGCGAGAAGCTTCTGCGAAAGCCTCTGCCTCAGGACCCTGACAGGCAGGGGTTAGAAAGGAGAAACGAAAATCGGCGAGCAAAAAAGGCTTATTGGAACACAGACAGACAGATATCTGTAGTCGCCAATGGTGCAAGAAACTGTCCGCCGCTTCTTGCCCATCATACGAAATACTGCAGCGCGTTTGGATATCGTCAATATTGCGGAAAGCTTCCGAAAGAGCCCTGCTTCGGGCCCTGCTAGGGGTTGAATGAGGGGAAAAAAGGAATTGGTAGACACAGAAGGCTTATTGACACAGACAGACAAACATCTGTAGTCACCACAAGTTCAATGTCATCAAAGTTGCGAAGAAATTCAGAGAGAGCCTCTGCCTCAGGTCCCCGGTAATAGGGTGATTAGAAAACGAACGAGGGGAGGAGAGAGGAGAGGAGGGAGGGGAGCGGAGACAGGTTAGGCGAGAGAGGCGAGGAGAAACGAGAGGAGAGAGAAGAGAGGCGAGAGAGGCGAGGAGAGAGGAGAGGCGAGAGAGGAGAGGAGAGAACAGCATGGCTGAAGCAGCACAGTTCAAATGGATGGCTACGCTGACATAAACAGCAGGTGTTGCACTGCGTGCAGGGCTGACAGGGAGACTTACAATAGACTACTAGACAGAGAGACAGACACACCAAACTTGAGAGAGCGGAGGAGGGCGATGGCAATGGAACCGGCGAGCAGGGAGTGCACCTTGCGCACATGTGAGGCTGAGAGGTGCGTCACCGCCAGGCCCAGCCACAACCCAACGCGCACCCGCGGGCTGATGGACAGACAGACAGACAGACAGACAGACAGACAGACAGACAGACAGACAGACAGGCGGACGGAAGGACGGACGGACGGACAGAAGGACGGGCAGACCGACAGACAGACAGACAGACAGACAGACAGACAGACAGACAGACAGACAGACAGACAGACAGACAGACAGACAGACAGACAGACAGACAGACAGACAGACAGACAGACAGACAGACAGACAGACAGACAGACAGACAGACAGACAGACAGACAGACAGACAGACAGACAGACAGACAGACAGACAGACAGACAGACAGACAGACATACAGACAGACAGACAGACAGACAGACAGACAGGCGGACGGAAGGACGGACGGACGGACAGAAGGACGGGCAGACAGACAGACAGACAGACAGACAGACAGACAGACAGACAGACAGACAGACAGACAGACCGACAGACAGACGGACGGACGGACGGACGGACGGACGGACGGACGGACGGACGGACAGACGGACGGGCAGACGGACGGACAGACGGACGGGCAGACGGACGGGCAGACAGACGGGCAGACAGACAGGCAGACAGACAGACAGACAGACAGACAGACAGACAGACAGACAGACAGACAGACAGACAGACAGACAGACAGACAGACAGACAGACAGACAGACAGACAGACAGACAGACAGACAGACAGACAGACAGACAGACAGACAGACAGACAGACAGACAGACAGACAGACAGACAGACAGACAGACAGACAGACAGACAGACAGACATACAGACAGACAGACAGACAGACAGACAGACAGGCGGACGGAAGGACGGACGGACGGACAGAAGGACGGGCAGACAGACAGACAGACAGACAGACAGACAGACAGACAGACAGACAGACAGACAGACAGACAGACAGACAGACAGACAGACAGACAGACAGACAGACCGACAGACAGACGGACGGACGGACGGACGGACGGACGGACGGACGGACGGACGGACGGACGGACGGACAGACGGACGGGCAGACGGACGGACAGACGGACGGGCAGACGGACGGGCAGACAGACAGGCAGACAGACAGACAGACAGACAGACAGACAGACAGACAGACAGACAGACAGACAGACAGACAGACAGACAGACAGACAGACAGACAGACAGACAGACAGACAGACAGACAGACAGACAGACAGACAGACAGACAGACAGACAGACAGACAGACAGACAGACAGACAGACAGACAGACAGACAGACAGACAGACAGACAGACAGACAGACAGACAGACAGTCAGACAGACAGTCAGACCGGCAGTGGCAGACAGACACACCAACCTTGAAGGAGTGGAGGAGGGCGAGGGCGATGGCGTTGGAGGCGGAGAGCAGGGAGTGTGCCTTGTGCGCATGTGAGGCTGAGAGGTAAGAAAATACCAGACAGACAAGACAGGCACACACATGCGGACGCACAGACCTTGAGGGAATGAAGTACGGCGAGGGCGATGGCGTTGGAGGCGGAGAGCAGGGAGTGCGCCTTGTGCGAGTCCGATGCCGAGAGGTGAGTCACTGCCAGGCCCAGCCGCTTCTTCACAAAGGTGATGAGCTCGTCGCTGGGATTGGGGAGGAGAGGGCAGATGGATAAAGGAAGAGCATTTCTTCCAGTGACAGAGGTGGGAGGGTGACTGCCAGACCCAGCCGCTTCTTCACAAAGGTGGTGAGCTCGTCGCTGGGATTCAAAGTATGGGTGGGAATGGAAGGGAGATTAAGGAAGCATTTGTTTAGGTCCCTCAACAACAGAGACGAGTCACCGCCAGACCCATCCAACCGCTTCTTCACAAAGGTGGTGAGCTCGTCGCTGGGATTGGGAGGAGAGAGCAGATTGAGGAGAAGGATAACGCCTCTTTAGGCTCTCCAGTAGCAGAGGCGAACGAGTGACTGGCAGACCCAGCCGCTTCTTTACGAATGTGGTGAGCTCGTCACGAATGTGGGATTGGGGAGGAGGGAATGGAGGGGAACAACAAGAACGATTTCCTTGAGGCGTTTCAAAGGCAGAGGCGAGTGAGCGACTGGCAGACCCAGCCACTTCTTCATACAGTTGAGGAGCTCGTCACTGGGATTGGGGATGCGTTGTGATCGGCCTGCATTCTCTCGGTCTCTGACCAGAACGAAATCTCACCTCCGGGGATAGCCTCTGACCGGCCTGAACGCACCATCTCTGACACACAACAATACCGGCATTCGCAATCTCTGGCACGACCTTCACTCTTCGCGGACCAAGCAGTCAGATCGGACGGACTAGAGAATCTCTAGGCATCTCAATCGCACCTCTGGGAATACCCTCTGATTGGCCTGATTTTCCTGTCCCTGACCAGGACACATTGTCACCTCTGGAGATACCCTCTAATCGGCCAGCATTCCGAGCCAACGATTCGAGGGTATCTCCAGAGACACCAGAGGCATCTCCAGAGGCATCTCAAGAGACATCTCAAGAGGCAACTCCAGAGGCATCTCCAGCGGCATCTCCAGCGGCATCTCAAGAGCATCTCCAGAGGCATCTCAAGAGTCATCTCAAGAGGCATCTTCACAGGTGAAACTGCATTCTCCGTCTCTAACGGGATTGAAATCTCACCTCTGGGAATATCCCCTGATTGGTCGAAATTCGCCGTCCCTGACGAGCACTTCATTCGGCATGCGCCGTACGCGCTTTAAGCTCATCTCACCTCTGAGGATAACCTCTGATCGGTCGGAATGCACCATCTCTGACGAGCACGAAATTCGGCAATTCGCCGTACGCCTTGAACTCTTCGCGAACGCTTTCGCCCGCCGCGACTCCATCGACCATCGCTACAGTCACACCGAGCTTAGTCAACTCCTCCTTCGCGCCAGACACGTCATCAACGAGCAACGGAAACGCCTTATCCTCCTTATTGAAGAACACTACAAGCACGCGGGAATGCTCCGCTATAGTCTTGCGCAGCGTCGGCTCCGTTAAGGCTTGAACTGGTGCTTTAATCTTGCCTAACGCGGCTTCTACTTTCTCGTGCTCGTCCGGGTCCGCGTGCTTGTAAGTCACTCTCTCCGCTCCTATGACTTTCGCGGCTGTCGCGAATGCTACCGGCGACAGGGTTGCCGGCGACGGCGATATTATCGGCGACAAAATGGAGGATGGTGAGAGAGTGAGGAGGAGGAAGAGGAGGAGGGGAGGAAGGGCGTAACGGCTATTGGACATGGTAGGACGAGCCATTTTGGAGAATAAGAGCAAGGCCGAGGGAAAGACGAGGCTGCGGGCGAGAGGTGTACGGTCTAAGAACCTCCTAATACTAAGCAAGCGCCACATGTGTGTCTGTCTCTAGCGCGCCGAGCCCAACCAAAATGACGGGAAAACTGACGAACGCTTAGCGAAAAGCTTAGCGAAAATATCTTGGCGCTTCAATCACGGTGTTATGAATGAACAAGCAGAGTAGCGCGGAAATGAATAACGAAGTGTTCCCTCAATGAATTGACGATACAAGGAATGGCAAGCCAAGATATAGGAACACCAGAGCTAGTCTAACCATGCGATGGGAAGGTTCGGGAAGGAGATCGAAGGGTCCCGAAGTGACGAAGCGAGGCCTGGAGAACTCCCGAAGGTCGAACCGGAAGGTCTGGAAAAGCCGAGGCGGTTCTGTCAGAAGGTCTGGAACAGTCCCGAGGCTTCAGGTGTGTTCGAGCGTACGCGATAGCAGTAGCGCTCGGTAAGGAATGGAAAATTCCTTACACCACCCCCCCCCCTTAGCGAAGGTGACCTATATCAGCCACGTGCTTGCGGTTCAAATAATTCGCAAGTATCGAAGGTGACTGTATCTGGTCCGAAGGCACCCACGTGTCGTCCTCACTGGTACGATTCGTCCATCGTATCAGAAAGTCAACGTGTCGTCCTTGACCGTTAATACGAATCCGATGGCTCAAGATCTTCGAAGGCTCGATTGTCGTTTCGGCTGGTGGCCGTACGTCGGGGACCAATCGCTGACGGGCGATGTCCGACGTGTCAGGAACGAAGGGTCGCAACAGGCTCACGTGGAATTTGTTGTAAATACGCCAGTCATCAGGTAGGCGCAACTGGGCGGTCACCGGCGTTACCATCTTCACGATCTTGAATGGACCACAGAAACGTGGTCGTAATTTTGTCGGTAGTGTCAGTCGTAAATTCTTGGTGTCCAAGAGGACTAGTTGCCCTGCTGTCATCGTAATATCCCGTCGATGTAAATCTGCATACCGTCGGGCAGTTGCGTTCGCCTTGCGAATGAGTTCGACAGCTTTATCTCGGGCAGTCTGTAATTCTTCGACGAACTGCTGCGATCGTGGTACTTGACTCTCAACGTTGGTGGAGATCGGCACTGTAGGGTCCATCCCGTAATTGAGATAAAACGGGGTGTGATTAGTCGTAGCCGAGGGTGCGTTGTTGTAGGAAAATTCCAACATGGGCAGCACGTCCTCCCATTTGTTTCGGTCGAGGCAGTTTGTCCGAATCAGCTGCTCCATCGTTTGATTCGTCCTTTCCGTCTGGCCGTCCGTTTGGGGATGATAAGCGGATGAGAACTGTAGACGCGTGCCGTACCGAGCCCGCGTGTCATGCCAGAATTTTGACGTGAACTTCGGATCTCGATCGCTAATGATTGCTGCTGGTATCCCGTGTAGACGAACAACGGTCGAGATGAACAGGCGCGCTGTTTCTTCGGCTGTGATGGTTGTACGACATGGTGCGAAATGCGCCATTTTCGTCAATCGATCGACGACAACCAACACCGCGTCGTTTCCGCTGGGTCCGGCCGGTAGTCCCGTAACGAAATCCATCGTTACGTGTTGCCATGGGCGTTGAGGTGGCTCGAGGGGCTGCAACAGTCCTGTAGGTCGCTGATGTGATGATTTCATTCGCTGGCAGATCGGACACGCGGCCACGTAACGCTGCACGTTCGTCACCATATCTGGCCAGTAATAAAACCGCTGCAACGCCTTCAGAGTTTTGTCAACCCCAAAATGTCCCGATAAATTCGAATCGTGGACTTCTTGAATTAGTAATTCGCGAAGTAGACGATAACTTGGGACCCAAATTCGATCAGTCCCACTTCGTAAGTAATAGACGCCTTTCCGTGTAGTGATCGGGAGATGGCCGTCATTTACGAAGAAGGGGTTAGTCGAATACTCGTGGGTAAATAGTCCACTCAGTAGCGGGTTGCTTTGGGCGACTAGTACTGCTGCGAGTTGGGCAGATGGTCTGGAAAGGGCATCGGCAATATTGTTTGCGCCCTTTTTATACGTGATCTTGTACGTGAAGTTTGACTCCAGATAGTCCAGCCAGCGTATCTGCCGCGGGTTGAGATTCGGCTGCGCCCGCAGGTACTGTAGAGATTTGTGATCGGTACGCACCGTCACGTCTGCTCCAGTCAGGTAGCACCTCCAGATTTTGAACGCGTGGACGATCGCCAGCATCTCCTTGTCGTGTACCGGGTAGTTGCGCTCAGCGGATTGCATTTTCCGAGACTCGTACGCGATTGGTTGAAGACCGTTGCCGAAATCCTGCATGAGCACTGCTCCGATGGCGATGTCACTTGCGTCGGTGATGACTTCGAAGGGCCGTTCCGGGTCAGCGATGCGAAGTACCGGTGGCGACATTAAACGCCTTTTTAATGCCTCGAACGCAGCTTGCTGCTTCTCCCCCCACTCGTAAAAAATTCCCTTCTGCAGTAGGTCGGTTAGAGGTCCAGTTAACCCCGCCATATTGGGTATAAACCGTCGCACGTAGTTCACGAAACCCAAAAATGATTGCAGCTGCTGCAGATTTGTTGGCGGTTGCCACTCCTGAATAGCCCGGAGTTTTTTTGGGTCTATTCGTATCCCCTCCGTGGAGATCATTTGCCCCAGGAACTCCAGTTCTTGTTTTAAAAACTCGCACTTGGAGCCCTTGGTAATGAGACGATGCTGCTGCAACCGTTGAAATACTGCTGCCAAATCCTTTAAATGTTGCTCCCGGGTCTTGCTGTAGATCAGGATATCATCCAAGTAAATCATCACGCATTTGTCGAGTAGATCGCGGAACACCCCGTTCATGGTGAGTTGGAACGTCGAGGGGGCGTTCGTTAATCCAAACGGCATCACCGTGTATTCGTAACTCCCGTAGCGAGTACGAAACGTGGTCTTGTGGCAATCGTCAGCGAACACTCGGATTTGATGGTAACCGCCGCGAAGATCCATCTTCGAAAAGTAGCGAGCTCCACGAAGGTTGTCGATCAGCTCGTCCGTTCTTGGGATTGGGTAGCGCGATTTTATCGTTACCCGATTAAGGGCCCGATAATCCGTACACATGCGAAGTCCGCCGTCTTTCTTTGGGGTGAACAGGATCGGTGCTGCGAACGGGGACGTGCTTGGCCGAATGAACCCTTTCGCCAGTAGGTAGTCCAACTGGTTCCGTAGTTCCTGTAGCTCCGGCAAAGTCAGGCGCCATTGCGTGCGCACAGTAGGCTGCGCGCCGGGCTCCAGCTCGATCTTGTGGTCCTGGGGTCATTCGGGTGGCAGTCCACTTGGCAAGTCGTCCGGGAAAATCTCAGGATATTCCCGAATGATTTGCGCCAAGTCATCCGGGACCGAAGCGCAGAGTTTGTTGATGTCGGTCGCCTCGTTCTGCTCCGTCGATTCGGTTAGATGGACGGCGTATAAATCCGCTCCATTCTTGACCGCTCGGTTGAGGCACACCGCGTTGATGCGTGTCGACGTTGTCTCTGCTTCCGGCCACGTGGGTAATTTTCGCCAGCCTTTGTCGCACTTCACTGTGCACTCGCCTGTCGTCCAGTCAATCTGCGGGTTGAATCTCCGCAGCCAATCGCGTCCCAATAGCACGTCGTAGCCGTCGAGCGTTGTCGCCAGCATCGGCGCGCTGAAACCAAAATCTTCGCCACACTTCATTCGGACGACAGGTACTTTGTCGCGTATCGCTAGCGGGGTGCCGTCCACTAATCGTGCGTCGATTTCGGGTAGACACCGCTCCAGCGTCAGGTGTAGTCGTCGTGCTGTCTCTCGATTTATCAGGCTGTGACTCGCACCTCCGTCGATGAATATTTGTATTTTTCTTCCGTTGAGTCGTCCCTCCGCCAGTACAGGGTGGTCCACTGGGTCATCCTCCTTTTTCAGCCGGGAGCGGTTGATAGCATGTATCGGAACCACTACTCGGTGGGGATGTTGTTTTTCGGGCGATGAGGCAGGGTAATTAGGGGGCCCGACTGCTACTGACGCTTGGCGTTTCCCGACCTGTCCTCGTCGTTCTTCTTTATCTGCTTCTTTCGGGGGCAATCGTGAGATTGGTGACCCGGCTGGTGGCAGTTGAAACATTGTCCCTTGCGAAAATCGCCCATGTGCTCTTTCGCCACTACGCCGTGAATCGTGGGCCGTGGATTCTGGCGACGAAAACGATTTCCCTCCCGGGAACCCGCTCTCGCGTACGTCCGATGCGCGTCGAAGTTGTGTGCGATCCGAACGGCTTCGTGAAACGTCGCCGGCAGTCGCAGTCGGACCTCGCATTTAATGTCTTGTTTCAAACCCGAAATGAATCGAGCTTTCTTCTCGGAGTCATGCATGTCGGTGATTTGATCGCATAACGCCATGAAGACCGACGCGTAATCCTGGACAGAACTCCACTGGCGCCAGTTGTCCAGCTTCGTGCGTGCGTTGTCCGAGGCGGATATTGGCTCGAAACGTTCACGCAGAGCTGTACCCCACGCCTTCCACGTGCGAATCTTGGTCGATCCAAAAATCGCGGTTGACCCTTGGGCAGCAGACCCAAAGTTTCCGAAAAACCCCTGTGTGTCGCCTGCCGAAAACTCTCCCTCCTGTAGAGTATATCGCCACCAATCTAGCGCAGGTCCCCACAGTAGTGATACAGCCAGTCGAATTTTTAAATCGTCAGCAGTGATCCCAGCGGCGTTGAAATAAAGTTCCGTCGAAAATAACTAGCCCGTAACAGTAGTATTTTTATCGGTGGGGTTAAACGGGGGCGGCATTGTCGGTTTGATTGTCGCTGTCGTCACGATCGGCATAAACGCCGGTGCAGCTACAGTAGCGGCTGCTTCTGACCGAGCGGCTGCTGCTGTCGCTGCTGCTGCTGCTGCTGCTGCTGCTGCGGCGGCTTCACCGTCCTTGCGCTCCTGTGACACCTCACGTGCGATTTCGTCCAAAACGGTTTCGACACGTCCGGTGCTGGCGACCTCCTCTTGGGCGGCAATTTTCTGACGCGAATCCTCTCGCGCCTGGCGTAGCTCAGCAACTTCTGCACGAAGTCACTCGTTGTCCTCCAGCACTG